GCGTTGATATATTTTATTCATTTTAAAATATCTGGCCTCAATTTGGCCAGTTTAAAATTTTTAAGCGGTAAGAATTTAAGTTGTCTGTGGAAAAAAAAATGGAAAATTTAGAAATCCATTATGGTTCGATGGGTTGAACTGCTATACATATTTAAATAATAAAGCGTCGAGTGCAAATGAAGTCGCCAACGCAGTTGACATCATCGGTAGTTGACTACGAGATGTTACCATTGTGGATACCAATAACAAACATCAGCTACGACCTCGACGATGTGAAAAACAAAATTTTCCAATGACAAAATATTTGCTTTTATTTTATATAGGTCCAGATTCCTGACTGGTGCTCCCGGACAGTGCATGGGTGATCTGTTCATTTATTCATATATATTTCAAACTCAACGGGACGAAGTTTAATTCAAATAAATCGCATAACATAACAGGTTTGATTCAGCGACGACTAAAAATAACCAATACGAATTTAAAAACTGCCTCAACAGTTGTCCACAAGACGCGAACTGTTTGTGTGTGCGGCCGTGGCAATTAACAAAAATGATTACGATTGTTAACATTAATCGTGTGACCGCCGGCGCCAATGTCGCGAATTTGTGGAACAAGCCGCACGCTGTCATAACAGAGTTAACAAGTCAGTAAGCTTATTAATAATATAACACAGCCTACTAACGCGTCACACATTTTCTTAATAAAATGGCAATAGAAAAGGCTACAATCACAATTGACAAATCACTAGTTGACCCGTGCGAAAAATTCTCTCAGTACCTACTGTCTCATCAGTCTACTTCCCTGGACGAGACTGCACATTTGTGGTACGGCAAAGATTGCTGTGTTGCCCTACCGCAGTTGAAACTTTAACAACAACTATCTATTACACGTTAAAACTCTTTTTATGATATCTTATGTACAAAACAATGCATTATTATCACATTAAACGTATAAAGATCAATTGTCCAGACATAACGGTGAAACTTGTACTGAACCTACGGACGTCATCAGTGGTAACTTTCTCAATTTATTTTGACCATGACATTTTGAGTATAATATATTTAATTTCCGATATCACTTGCGTCAGAGCAAAAATTTCACAACAGTTTTTAAAACAAAAAAAAATTATTTTAATAAATTGGCTAGTTTCGATCTAACTATTTTAGTTCGTAACTGCGGTGATGCATTTTTAATTTAATTACCCATGGTAACAAATTAAATATCGTATAATTATTGATTTACATGATACTTATTGTAAACAATTAAAATGAGAGAAAATTGTTTATTGGATCGTTTACAATAAAAAAAATATATGTGGAAGCGGAGTTATTATAACTTTTATATCGACGTCATATGATGACCGCAAAGTATTAAATGTTTTTAACTGTGAGGACTACGCTACAGTCAAAGCCGTTTCACTGGGCCTTCAGGTGGAATACCACGGCTTCATAGATGACCGGAGCGCAAGGGTTATACTTCAGCTTTTGTCTGGTGAGTAAGGTAACCGGGGCACACTTTGTGGTTAGGGACGCATCGGCAATTCTGCGGACGTTGCAAAAGTCGATAAGCGGTGATTATTACTTATCAATAGATGAACCGCCAGCCGCTTGGTTGCCACCTTATTACGTGAATAAAAGGATACGGTTACAAGGGTAATGCATAAAACCGTAAGGTTCATGCAGGTGATGATTTTTATCATCACAGTCGTAACACGTCAATGTATTGAATTGCTTTTCCCTGTCTCCTAATTGAATACAGTATCGGGCTGTGACGTATTGAGAATACTTCAATAAAATACGAAGTGATTTTAAGGTAAAATATAATTCATGATACATATTATTGTGTGCACAAGAAGACAATATATATGCCATAAAACTATAGGCTCCACCGAAAAATAAATTTAGACGAACCTTACTTTCGCGACCGTCGGATCAAACTTGCGTTTTAGATACTTGCGACGTGTCATCCAACACGCCAATACATTTTAATAATTAATTAACTACATTTGATTCCAAAAAACTGGTTTTCATTTACACATTCCGTTTCCGTATAGCGTCTAGGTCTAGTAATTTGTATTATTGTCTGGATTAGAATAGCTTTGTTCAATTTAAACACCACGTAATAATAGCATAACTTGTTTTCTAAAAAGTTCGCACAGCTTTAAATAAAACACCAAAGTTTTATTTAGTTCATTAATAGTCATTAAAATTTATAAAGGAAACACTAATCAAATTTTTTAGATCCATTCTAGTGCCTGAGAGACTTCCGTTCTTAATATGTGGACATTAGTATTCGAATTTACAGTTTTTAAAACATAGCTGTAAAGTTTTACCATGCTGAAGTTTCTACTGAGCTTAAAACCTCATTTGGTAAAAGACGCGTATTTAACCAATAGTTAAAAGTCTGCTAGAGTGATGTCGGGTTGATCATTGACGTTTACCTCAATGCTTTATCATTATTATATTACTTAACATTAATTTCTATATCGGCTAGTTATCTTATCACCACGAGCGCGTGTTGATTGTGCACTATGACGGCTTTAATGACTGATTAGAGTTTTTCACCATTGACGAAACGAAAGGATTCGCTGACGGTTTTCGTGTCAAAGAAGAGAGACGCAGTTTGTAAGGAATCCCTACAGTTGACGCGCTGCTCTGGTGCGTCACAGTCAAGGTTGCGACGCGAGGAAGTGGGCAGACAATGCACGCGCCACGGTTTAGCAACGAGGTGGGTTTACGCAATCCGCAGACGGCTAGGGTTACCAATGCACAGCTGATTACGTGTAGCATTTTCCTTTCAGTTTGCAACCTCAATATATTGAGGTCTCAGACGGCCGGTCTCATGCCTTTAGATAAAGTTTTTGACAGTCTATAAGTGTATTAGTTATCTGCCGTCAGCTCTAATTGGTAGACGATAAATTATTTATTATTAGATTTGAATAATATTATAAGTTTGGTCATAACTTTTAATGTTAATAATGGTATCAAAATAAATAAACTTAACAAGGCGATGGACGTGTAAATAGTTGTAATCAAAAGAATATTTTATCAGAAGATAGTTACTTTGGATTAAAAGTTTTTAATCGAACAAGATCCTAACTTATTGAAGAATATTGACTACACAACGAGGATACATCTTGAAGAATTCATGCAGATAATGGTAAAGTTCTGGCTGGAGCTTGTAGCGGCAACCCTATAAAGTAGGAAGTAAACGGTTATCGTGACGTTTACTTATCGGCCGAGGGTATTGAATTTAAATGAATTTTAATTTTTAAGCCTGTCGCACGCAAGTATTTATGAATTTCCATGCTGCTCGTGTTAGCAACTTTTTGGAAATTTACTATCAATAATTGGTGAAAGCTGTGTACACGTTAATTCCCAGAATAATTTTGTTGTAAGCTATTCCACGGTTGTATTAATATTTTTTGACTAATAACCAATTTCATTGAGTTTACGCACAGAAAAAATGGCGAAAATTTCCAAATAAATGCCAGTATAATGTTCAGCTATGAATATATTTACTCCGTGTACCTACTTACTATTATTTCTTTATTTGATATTGATTTCATGTAAACAGCAAACAAGTTTGATCGTGCTTAAAATTAGATGCTACTAAACGAATAATAAATGTGTTTATATGTTTTCGTGGCGTAGCTTCGATAAAAGGACATTTTGCCAAGATAGTAAATTTAAAAATTTACATAGTTAAAGTCACAGAGTTAAAGTCGAAATGAGTCAGATTTTGCAGAACACTAACACTGTTACTGTTTGAGTTATGTTCAAAGGCTACAAACGAAAAATGCAAGTTTGTAACATGTTACAAGGTACAAAGGGAGCTAGCTCTTTGCATTATCATACAATAACGCAAATAATTTGTATTGCGCACTTTCTTACTGTTTGATTTTAAACTGCGATGGCGTAAGAAATTATTTAAGTGATATTAAAATATTTCATGTTAGTCGTTTCACGTTCTACACATATATAAGATTAATGTTTTCTGTAATGCTTTGTGTAAAACATTTAATAATAATATGATGGCATAACAGTGTCACTATAAATGGCACCTTGATCCACAACTAGTGAAAGTTGATGACAATGACTAAATTGAAAAAAGCGAACGGTCATCATTGCGCACATAAGAAGTTATACTTACTTCTGGGTAACAAGAGTAAAATAACCAAAATTTAACCCGTGGCCTGTAGTATTTGTTTATGAAAAAGAGATTAAAAGCAATTGATAACCGTTTAATTAAATAACTTGGAATTATTGCCACGGTAATGAAGTTGGTCACTTTACAACCAACATCATCATGTCGCTTTTTGCTGTCGGCGTGCGCGCGCCTCGTTAAAATTTTACTCTGATAATTTTTAACAAACGCGCCAAAAGAAGTAAAAACTTCAATAACAAACTTATTCGGTGTCGCTTTGACATTTTCACTTTTCAATCATTTGAAATAATTATTGGGACATAAACAGTTATTACGTTACGGGCGGGCGGCTCCATAGCCGATTGCTGTTTAAAAATTAACCCGACACGTCCTCCATGCATGCGTGCTGCAGTTACGATGAATCGCTAAGTGGAAAGTATTCAAACTAATTTCGAAATAACACCTCCACATGAGGCAATTTGCACTAAACACAGTGCACCGTGGGAGAACGCGCATTGGCTCAGTACGGTTTGATATGTAACTTTTGCAAACTCCCCATTTGCGACGAGGCAGGGGAATTTTAAATCGACGCGTTCAAGTTGCGATCGCTTTGCAATTGCAGCTCTTTAACTGCGAATGATAGCAGCATAACCGCTTCGCGTATCTTTCCGTTCGTTGCTGTGTTTCTATTAATTATCAATTTGATTCAACTTTCACATGCTTCTACGAAGAACAGTAGAAGATAGTAAAAAGTTTTCGTTCGTATTAAAATTTAAAACCAACCCATGGACGGGGTACAGGTTTGGTAGGGGCCGCTGAAATCCGTTTGCCGCACGAGTAACAGTCCACAGTCACGACAACGCGCTATAACCAGCGGAACTCCTTCTCCCAGTCGGAAACCGCCACGGCCCGCGTGACATTGAAAACGCACGTCGAATGGTCTCACAGTCCGCGTCTGGATTCGGGGGCGGCTTGGGGCACCCATCGATCCCCGTGGAAACGGGGTCGCGCCACCCCGTGACCTTGAGGCGCGGAGATACGCGAAGGGCGACGGAAACGGCCGAGGCGTTCATTCATCCGCATCCCGCCGCCCACGGGCAGGGGCGGGCGGGATTCGAATTTCGAATCTGGAACTTTCGATCCGAAACGGGCTTCAAGCTTAGGATGAGAACTTTGCAATTGTTAAATAATTTATTATTATATATAATCTAAAGCAACTCCTGATCTCAACGTTTTAGTGGAAGGAATATGTTTTATGTTATATCGTACCGGCTTTACTGTTACAAAGTTTCATTATATAAATAAACCTATTTGCTTTAATGCAATTACGTGTTACCTTTGAGATAAATTTTACAATCAACTACGTAGGCAAGGCAACGATGAGAACCATTACTCTATCATCTCAAAGGATGTGTTCTTGATTCATGTGTACAAGACAATGCGGGTTCGCCTTATCAAACTGTACCAATATTTACCATGTGACCTTTGGAAATTTCTGTTACCCTGGTTAACAGAACCTTAAATAAATATTTGCAGATTTAAAACTGCATAAACTGAATCATAGTGTATAAGAAATTATAATTTTGTTCATTAGAAGAACAACTGTTGCAGTATATAGAAAAAGCCTTCATTGTCATCATAATAATATAGAAAATATTCGCAAATAAACTCATTATTCGGGCGCTCACTTTTAATTCATTATACTCGAGCAACCTGACTTCGATCCCCGATGCCGGCACAAATGTAATTGTTAATTTTGATGACTCCGTGGCGCAGTCGCCAAGGTTTTGGCTTCGGCGTCGGGGCTCGTGGGTTCGATTCCCACACGGGACTACTATTTGTGCAGATAGTTGTTTCGCATCTGGGTGTTTGTCTGCGTAAAACTTATGTATGTACAACGTCCTTGCAACAGAGGATAGTGTTATCCTAAAGTGAGGGCAATGTTTAGAAAAAAGAATAAAAAAAAAATTTTGGGTGCTGACTTATCACATACTCAGCAGTGAAGGAAAACATTATTAGGAAACCTGTATATTTTCTTAATAATAAAAGAATATTTCGAAGATATGTGAAGTCTGCCAATCTCTGTACAGAGCAGGTTTTGTCCAGCAATGGAATATATTAGACTATTAATTAACTTTATAAATAACTATGGAAAAAAATAGCATTAGGAAAAATAATAAACATTAGGAAATGTAAGTTAATGGTTATAAATAATATTCTTTACCTATAAAAATAATATTTGCATTGCATTTGTTTCCATGTAAAATGTGTGTGTATTTATATATTTGGAATGAAAGTATATTGCGAATGCAAATTCTGTTATATCTTTGGCTAACTCATTTGAATAAAATTTGCCTAAATTTATATTAAAATTACATTTATAATTATAAAAACAGGAAAACTTATTCGAATGACTTTAATAACTAGTTTTTTCTCAGGCCTCATAAACTGACTTAGACAAGGTTAACCATTTTTTGTTCCCAATTTGCATATTGCGCTTAATTGTTATAGATAAGAATTTTAATGTTGCTTGGACTTGGACAACAGTTCGAAAACACCGATTTGATTTAATTGAATCATTAAATTATTTTAAGTAAACTAATGATATGTTATTCTCAATGATTTTATGTTTAATTTGGAAATTGGTGAAATAAATAAATGCAGATATTTTATTTGTTTCCTATAAAATATCCCTAAATTCTCTAATATTAATGAAATAAGTAATATTAAAGAGATAACAAGATTAAATTAGAGTTATGTACTCGATTCGAAAAAATTGCCTCTCCCATACAACTCTACCACCTCTATTTAAGACGGCGATATTGTCATATAAATGTTGAATATTCCGTATTTCTTTTTCCCCTTACACGTTACGACGGCTTAACGGTTTGTATGAAATTCGTTTTTTTTCGAAATTCGAAATTCTAGCTTATAGTACCAAAGTCAAAGTCAAATATCTTTATTCAATATAGAACCATTCACTTACTTATTGATAGTCAAAAAACTCTACCACCGGTTCGGAAGGAAAGCCGACCTGAGAGAACCGGCGTAAGAAACTCAGCGGGACATTTTTTTTACTTGCCAAAAAAATTACAAATATGTGTACAATTATTAAATTCCACTTGAAAGAGCCTGATATCATATATGAAAAGTCTGGATACTTGTGTGACGTAATTGCTCATTTGCAAGAAAATCGCGCGGACGACGGCGTAAGGACGGCGTACGTATTCTTTAGCCTAACCTAACCTAACCTAACGCCGACTCGTGTAGACTGCGGCCAAAAAAAAAGCCAAGTGCGAGTCAGACTCGGGCACGAAGGGTTCCGTTATCTGTAAAAACCACCAAAAAAATCAGGTCTGTTGTATGGGAGCCCCGCTTAAATATGTTTTATTCTGTTTTTCAGTATTTGTTGTTACAGCGGCAACAGAAATACATCATCTGTGAAAATTACAAGTGTCTAACTATCACGGCTCATGAGATATAGCCTGGTGACAGATGGACGGACAGACAGACAGCGGAGTCTTAGTAATAGGGTCCCATTTACCCTTTGGGTACCGAGCCCTAAAAATGGTGCTCCTCGAATCGACAGCTCCGAGACTGCCGGATGACGTAATTCGATAGTGACACGGTCAATATTTGATACGCCGCCATTAGTGGTGGCCGATAACTCACTAATGAGCACGGAAAACAAAAGTATGGCGGACAATACTGACACACCGCCACTGGTCAAGACCCGTATGTTGCATATAATGCAACGGAACGCCGCGCAGTTCAGTATATTCACATTGAATAGTTCCTATAAGTTTGGTTGTTTTAAACCTAGTTCTATTCGTAAAGAGACATTTTGTGTTTGCACAAATTGTTGCAATGTTTTGATTTCCTGTTTGTCAAATATCACGCGACTTAAGTCGAAATATATGCTTTAAGATTTAGTGCTGAGAGGTCACAAATCATTTACTCGCACCAATTAAAATGGTTTAAAGGTTCTTTCTTCGACGGTCTTGCGATTGTAATATATATATTAAATGTATTTTTCGAGTTTTAAAAAGTAATATATCATTATTAGTGTCTATAAGGAAATGAACGCAATGTATATGTACCTACTCAATTTCTGAACGTATACGTTTTTTGCAGAGACGCTCGGGAGGGGATAGGGAGTAAAGACGAACGACGGAAGGTTATCAATCCCGATAAGAGCTCATCCATCACTCACTCCGTATCTATTACAATGGTTTCAAACGTCGCGGCGGACGGAAGATTTTGTATCGTGTGGAAGGCACAGTCTCCCCAGATTATATATAAGAGTGCTAGAATTTCTCCTGCTTTTCTTGCGAGATTCGAAGGAACAAGTAAAGTATAGAGGGTTATAAGAATCCATTAACACAATGTGTAAGTCTGAGCGTTTGAGAAGGAAAGAGGAAATGGGCAAATTAATATAAGGAAAGTTCACACTTATGGTATTAGGGCGTTCGGCAAATACATAATCTTATGATCGAAGAAATAAAACATGGTAGTACCAGAATTAAGCTGTTTAAAAATTACTAGTACAGAGCGTTCCCACTCCATTTTCCGCTAAACAGTAAGAAAACGAATTAACCGGTTTCATGACGTTCTCATTTTTACGTTTACTTGCTGAGTTGTGAGTCCAAGATATTAGCATTTTAATTGCTTTTTTGCTTTCAATTGCTTTTTTCCAGTCGTACTGGCAATATTTAATTAATTTATAGTCTTTGGAATTATAATTGCGGGAGTTTTATACATGCGTATAAATAATGGGGAAAAACTACAGAATAGACGAATCTGTGTGAAATAGCGTAACTAATTATAGTATTTACTATAATTTTTTTTTCCTTATATTGTTTCCATTTTTTACTTAAAATATTTTTTTTACTTTTATACGTATAAACGATATGATAAATACACAGTAGCACTGTATAGGGCCGATATCTTTCGGCTTTTGTTAAAACTCCGTGTCAATTTACTGTTACACAACGTTAAGTGTGCATTGCGGGCAATTGGTTCAATTTAAGCGTCCCGACACTAAAGCACGTGACTTTTGACAGCGCAAGAGTAACGGTGCAGGTTTTTCGCAACTGCCCCAAATGGATTACAAAATTGTAATATACCCAGAGTTGGACACGGAACTGAAATAAATACATCATAATATTCTAATAAAAATAGATAAGGATATGAAACCCATGCTCGAAAACCATAATTCAGATAGTCACAAAACTTTCACAGATGGACTATGAAAGACTCAGAACCTAAATTCGAGAAATGTTGCTTTAAACTCGCACTGAAGGTGATATGAATTACAAATCATCACGAAGATAGAGTCTTAACATCGACTGAAAACGAACTTCGTTTTCTTCCATCATACTTCCATCATAGTTTTCAATATCAGTCAAAGGTTTAACATTAACAGGGCTTGTTTTGTTAACGGACAAAACATGTATATGTTCTTCAAACTGCAGCATTATACATCGTTGAATTGTTAACAACGGGAGCGGTAGCGTCGCAAATGACCACTTTGTGGCGTGTGCATTTAAACAAGGGAAGCAAATAGACGTGATTGTGATATTAACGCGCCAGCCATGTTAATACACCCCGCTTCCCCTGTATCGCGGCTTAGTATTTATTTATTCAAGCCGTAACGAATCCTACTTAAAAAGATAAACACGAAATCTAATCTGCGCAAAAAAAAAAATTCACAATTCAATATTCCGTGTGAAGCCTAAAAGATTGTGCGTACCTATAAATATTACGTAATGGCTCGTGACTATTGTTACAATTGCTTCGAAGTAGACACGCAGTAAGTCGTGATGGTTATTCTAAACGATTTAGGACCTTTCACCGGCAGCCGTAAGGTTGAAAATGCTTGCGCGTCACTTCTAAGCACTTCCTTATCTTAATTCAATATCAACATTGTTGATCATGCAGTTCTTGTTTGCAGTGACACTTATATACTGGATTCGGCTGCTGCTAGGTCAGTGTTAGCTACTTTGTGTGTCGGCCAATCTTTTAGGCTATCCGTCTGCCACAGGTGAAATCATAAATTTCATTAAACTTTCTTACATTTTATTAAGGTATAAGTATTACGTTTAAGGTGTAATCGATTTTAATTGACTGATATGCTTATAACGCATTCGATTTTCGAACAATTTTCGTACGATACACAGTTTCTAGCGATTTTTAAGATGAAATTAATTCACTATAGAATAATATAAAACTCGAAGAATAATAAAACTGTTTACTTAGTAGTAGTGCAGCGGTCGGTAATAAACCATACGATAAAGGCGAACGGAAAAAAAGAAAGGAAAACATTTGAACGCATCTTCTTGAAGCTACGAGCGGCCGACGGCACACATTGCCACAAAAAAGCGTCTCTACGCACACATAGGCGGGCAAAAACTTCGCAGATGTGCTCACACGCATCGTCTGCGGGAAAAGCGCCCACGTAGGGTCCACATGTTTGTGGTCGACTTTATAAGGCCATTTTACACAACTTTTAGCTGGTTGTCACCAATTTAGTTTATATACCTGTAAGCTCCAAATAGTTACACCAGAAAGTAGTGGTTTTGTTTAATGAATCATTTCGTTTACGAAATGTACGTATTGATTGTTTTAAAACGCAATTACTAAAACTATAAAAAGTAAAGGAAAGTAACAGCCTGTACATGTCCCACTGCTGGGCAAAGGCCTCCTATAAACAGAGGGTATCAGGGCATAGTCCACCACGCGGCCCCACTGCGGATCAGCGGACTTCACATATCTTCGAAATTTTTTTTTGTTATTATTTCGAAAATATGCAGGTTTCCTCACGATGTTTTCCTTCACCGCGGAGCACGTGATAAATCAGCACTTAAAGTTAAAAACTTCATTGGTGCCGGCACCGGGGATCGAACTCAAGTCGCTCGAGTAAATTGAATTAAAGGCGAGAGCCCGGACACTGCGCTATCACGGCTCTAAACTATAAGTCACATTTGGTTATCTAAAAATAACCTCCTCTTATACTTTTTCTCAGTTAAATGGAATGTATACGCTTGTAAGGGCTTTTCGTAATTCAATGAACAAAAAATTTGACATGCCAGAACTAACGTTTCCAATACTAATTAATCTGAATAGATGGTCACCCTAGTAGCGAGACTCGATCTGAGAGCACATTGCTACTCGTATTATCATAATATTCTTGACTCCAATATAAATGTATACCTTTTTACATGTCTAATGCGGTTTCTTTTTTCGTTTGCTTTCAGAATTTATGTTAATTATATTAACTTTACTGATGTTTCCTAAAATCAATTATTTAATAAATTTTTAATTATCCGCATATAAAAAATTAAAAAACCTACTGATTCCAACCCTTATATCATTTTTATTGGGATAGATATAGAAATTGAATGCGTTCAATCGATACAGACATTTATTTTACCCAACCTATAGAAGATATTTTAAGTCCTAATTAGAATCCAAGAGGATACTTGACCTCAGATAGAGAGCAACTTAAGGTCAAACGAGACGCAATACATACCATACTTCAGGAAATATAATTACTGATTAATAATTCTAGAAGATTCGTCAATAAAATGAACTTAAAAAAATTAATTTCAAACTGTATTGCAATCATTGTTAGTTATTTTAATTAATTAGCGTAATTAACGATTCTTAAATATATAATTAACTGAAAAATAAATAAATATTGTTGATAGTGCATATTTACGATAAAATTGCAAACATTGTAATTGATACAATTAAAATTTACGTACATTTATTAAGTAAAAAGTTAAATATATTGTGTTTTCTTGATGATTTAAAATACCATAATACGAGGATTGAGAATAAAATTTAATTTTTTGGACTTTCGTCCAAACTCCGATAAATTAATATCTTCCTTATGAATGTAATTTATAACTGAATATTGCTCAAGTAGTAGTTGCAGACGCTAATTAACATAAAATTGCGTTCTCCAATCACTTTGTCAGTGCTGTAGGGCAGGTCATGGCTGAATGTGTAAGCACAAACGGATGTCCATTCGATAACAATTATTATCGCAGCTTCAAAGTCCTGCTGGGAGAGAGTTGTTCCAGAGACGTCCAAACTAATAACCATCCAAAAGTATCGACAGAGTGGATTATAACTCGCAACAAACCATGAAAGTATTGAGTGATTTGCATCTTTATTGTAGGCAAAATATTTTCGACCGTCCCATCTTACCCTGAGATAACATTGTCTTCCTTCAACTTCGAGTACATCACCGCTTAGCATCAGGTGTCAGTCATAGTATTCCAGTGTTTAGATCCAGTTCGTGATCAAAGAAAAAAGAAATCTTGCAATTATCATATTCCCCCGCGATATAGACTTGTCTGGCTCCGGCTCGGCGAGTACCAGGCGAACAGCGGATCGCAGTGTGGTATCACGTTACGCGCTGGCTGTTGACACCAGCGCCTGATTAATATTTATGATACGGCTGAGCATCTCGCATGGCCGGTTCGCTCGCTCGATGCGAATTATCTCCGTCTCGCTCGCACCCGCCGCTTACACCATAAGACCGCGTTGGCAACTCATATGGTGACCGCTCTTCCAACCAATTGACTTCGAGCAAGTGCGAATGAGAATCCCAAATCTTCTTAATTTTCGTAGAGCTTTTGTTTTACCTTGTATCGTTCGACCTAAAAAAGAATTAGACTTTGGTGCTCGAAACCACCTTGCGCATAATGCGATGACTGTATATTTAATAAAATCCACACATTTGTACAGGAAATATCGAAGCATTTTCGCATGCTATCTAAAAAAAATATTATTTACCACAAGATTGTTGGTGCGTCCCAGTTGTTGCTAGCATTAAAAGCCGTTTAAAGAAATATGTGGAACGAGAAGGGTCTCCGATACCTCGAACCTGACCGTATCGAGGTAACTTAACCGGACGGACTTGACTGACATATTACAAATTTGCAACGCTTAGTTATAGTCCGCTGTAAAATCGCGTACTCTTTTAAATAAATTAAAAACGAGAACATTTTTGATTTATCGTTGTTAGAACATGAATTGCGCGTCGGTTGTAATTTAATTGAATATTTCCTTAATGCTCTGAACTAACAATTTGCCGGGACCAATGACGCTGAAGTTTACAGGAATTACTCATGGAACTTTATTAGTCATTTGATTAAACAGAGTGTCTTTAATTGAAACGCATCCAAAACCGCTGTTCCCTTGACTTTGCGACCTCCTTTGTGGACGTACCACCGTAATCGAATTGGGTCGATTGGACAATGTTCATTTTCTTATTCCCGTGATTATTAAGCGCCTCTGAATACGTCCTGTTCTGGCAACGTTATCGTAGTATTTGCGAGGCGATTAACATTGTTTGTCTGAGCGCTTCGCGGGGCTCGCGCGCTCCATCGCCGGCCGGCATCCGAGACCACGCTTCAAGGTCGCGTTATCTTGCACCCAACTGCAGCCCGCAGCGACACGACCACTCAGCCCACAACTACCACTTCAAACATTCCAATCGTGCTAAAATCAACGTGCACTGGCGGCGACAATCTTACAGGAACTCGTCAATCTCGACCGTCGGCCGACTCTATTGCTAACGAGCGGACGGGCTCCGCGCCGGACGTGTACCTCTAAGCAGCAACGCGACAGTTTCGTATCGAATTAGCGCCGTGTTTACATTTTATAAATAGAGCGCGTTCACGTGGCGCGTGATAAGCGTACGACGACACGTCGGTGGCACTCACCGTGCGCTGTTAACATCCTCCGCGGTCGGCTGCCGGTACCTCCGTTGCACTGACACACGGGCGGGAACTTAAGCACTCACAAACGGCGCACTGGGCTCCGTGGCACACGCGAGGACTGCACGGCGTGACACCCACGACTAGAATGCGGGCGAGACGAGCGCGGGGCGCGGGGTGCGGGGGGCCGTGAGCGACACACAGCTCATACGAAGGCGCGGCGAGTACGACTGCGGCCCGGCGCGATCGCCTTCCATCAGCCCCCCCTATTGGTTGGGCCGCGAGTGACGTCACCAGAACCAGCCAATGACCGTAGGACAAATAGTGCGGACAGCCGCCGATAGAGGCGCTACCGGTGAGGAAGTCGCCCGCCCTACAGAGCTTTCTTGAGCTAGGGCGTATGCTTTCACGGGCGGCGAGCTCAGGCGGATTTTATAAAATATACTAAGTTTGCGAGATCGGCTATAATAAAATCAAAAAAGGGGAACGGCTTTCTTCTCTAGTGATGAGTAGAACCCGCCAGCAATGTAAAAGAATACGGAAGCAATATTTAGTGTCTCAATAGTTTTATGTGCCAATTTGGGTATTTGCCAGACGAGGTGAACATATCTACGAATAAAATTAACGTGAAAAAAAATAACGACTGGAAGGAATCGAGACTAATATCCGTATAAGCCGGTCTACCAACGCTTCGTCTACTTTCGCTTTGTCATGAGCAATTCGATTCAAAGTTGTTTAAAATGATATTTTAGGGCTGAAATATTTTGTACTCTTTAATGTATATGAAGATTAATACGATTATTAAGATCTAAGTACTTCGATTCTCCTTTATTTTTACTTAAAATTGAGTTATTAAAATCTGAATTGAAAATTAAACTTTATGTTGACATGTACCCTACAAATCCTTGTTTTGAAACTAGTGATAAAATTTTTATGTCATACTAAATATAAAGTATATTGAATTTATTTCTTTGCTGAGTATTTTACATTACCATTGTTGGAAAATTTTAATGAGTGAGAAATGATTCATTAGAGCTTTATTTTGTCTTTATTAGAGCTGTATTAATGTCTGCTTACTTCCAAGTTAAACAAGATCGTAGGTTAAACTACCCTTTATAATTGGGTCCAAATTAATATTAAATCAACGTATATTTTATTGAATATGCGAATTGAAAGTGAAGGAAATAAATCAACTTTAAGGATTATATGGATTCGTAAAATAGTTTAATTTTAAATAAGTTTTGAATGTGTATTTGTCTTGGGTTTTGCGTTACAAGTTAATTAAAAAACTTACTTTAAAAATATTAAAAGCACATAAAGACATTATAAAAACTTGGAAATAAAACAATAAAGGAAACACAAATATACGTAAACTCGATGACTCCAGGTATGATCAATAAGTTAAAAGCATCGATATTTTAAATATTGCTGGCGTAATTACAGTCTCCCAATGTTCTGTTTGATACTTACTTATGGATGTGAAGGACAACTTTTAGAAGGCATTATTCAAATATGAGTTACTTGTTCCTAATGTTTATTTTAACGAGCACCAAGCCAATTGATCTTTCATTTTAGATTGATAATGTAATGACTCTTTTACATGATGACTATTTTAACGATGGTAGGGCCACGCAGCAGCCTCGGCTGTTGCACGAATGGGCAGGCTCGACTGGGTAAGTACCACGACCTCACAGAAGACCGGCGTAAAGTAGAAGTATAATACTTGAGTGAGAATAATTGAGTGAGGTGGCCAGAGCCCAATTTTCAAAAGGTTGTCAACGCATCCGGAACCCTCAGGTGTTGCAGACGTCCATGGGCGGCGGTATTCACTTAACATCAGGTGAACCGTCTGTTCTCTTGGTAACTTTTCACATAAAAAAGATATAGTAAGCTGCATTTGGTAATACACAGTCGGGTGGCGTAACAGTCAAGTACTGCAATTGCAAATTAATTGGAGGAAAAAATATTTGCCAGAGTCCATCTTCCCTTAAACAATATTGTGTTTCAAGCCTTCACCTTCGAGGTCATCGCCGCTAATCATCAAATATCATAGATACATAATTGTTTTGTGTTTGTTCCTTTTTTAAAACACAGTAGCAGGCTAATCAAATATGATCAAGGCTTAGAATGGACTTTCCTTTTAAATTGAATGTGTTACTTTGAAACAATAACCTTTAAAAATTTCTTTCGAAAAGAAGTTCATTGATTCACTTCTTCATTGCAAATACGTACAAATTGGAGACTGTTTTAGGTCTTCCTTTTATGAAATTCTCCCAAACTAATTTATCGCATAAAATTGCCCATAAAGAAAACAATAACGTATCATCGTGACACATTACATGACGATATGTTTATTTTATAAGCTCTTTTTTATGATATTGTTGAAGATAATTTAGCAAAATTTACACGAAACCATATTTCAACAACTGTTATTTATAGAGTATCACATCCGTAACGTGTGTTGTACTGAAATTTTTTCGTTATAATATTTATATGATGGTGAAGGTGGCACAGTTGCAAAAGCACCGCTTGTGGATTACACCGCTGGATTTAAACACGTTACAAGTATCTGTATTACTCTCAGGTAAAAAAAATATATTGTAAGTGTGGTTGTTAAAAAAAAGATTTCCTCAAGAAATTTTCCGTCACCGCTGAGCATTGCCATCACTTTAGGATAACATTATCCTGTGTTGTAAGGACGTTTTACAAACAAGGACAAACAGCCAGATGCGAAACAACACACATAGTTGTCCCGCGTGGGAATCGAACCCACGACCCCCGACGCCGAAGTCAATACTTTGGCAACTGCACCACGGAGTCATCTTAAAAATATATACTATAGAAATTCATACTGAAATTCTTCACTCTTCTAATACCTTTAATTATCCAACCTTTTAATTAATATACGCCGGGAAAAATACTTAATACCGTCACTAAGAGCTTCGTCATTATAGCGTGCTGTAAACAAAACCCTTAGTCGCACCCGAGGGAGCGACAGCTGTCCCCAAGCCTCAGTGTTCGACCATTAAACAGCCACGATGGGTTTTATAGCAGCCAACGGATGTACACCCAAAAGCGAATTTATTACTCTCCAGTTAAAGTTCAATTTCCACTGTATCAAAATGTAAAATCTGAAATTTCAGAAGTGAAAATCGCACAACGGAAAAAGAATCTTACTTGCTTGAAGTTGGGTTAATATTGAATCGATTTCACACTTAAAATATTGGCTGCTGGTGCAGGAAATTGTATCGAAGATATAGTTGTAAGGTAAGAAACGATTATTATTAGTCTATTAGTGTATAAAGATTACAACTTGAGTTCTTTTAGTCATTTCCTTCCGATCGGCGATAATTATATACAAATTCTTAGTTTATTTCGTTAAGAATCATGGAATAATATAGTCCATACTCTTAAAGTATTAATGTTTTTTCGTCGGAAGGTAATTAAAACAAAACTCATCGCTGTTCTAAATTGAAATCAGTATGCAATATATAACTTGCGACCAAGTTAAAAGAATTCGCACACTGGAAATTGCTGCATAAATTATTGCAAACCAAAACCTCACTCGCGACTATCCGTCAGCGAATGTTTATTGTTGTCAAAATTGAAATTTCTGTTCACAACACACTCGTAGATGCCATTAGCTGTTTAAATGAGGTAACGCCCTTTAACGATAATTATTTTGAAGAGAATATATAAATAACTTAAACACAATTCTATAACGACTATTATGTACCGATCATTGTCAGTAAACTTCTAAGTATCTATTTATTTTAATTTATATATGACAGACAACTCCCGGAGAAAAAAGGCTTGTACCTATTCAGTTTGATTACAAATTCTAAGAATTTACTAAGATTATTCTAAGAATGTACAGGGGCAAAATGTAAGTATTCAGGTAAAGCTTAAAATGGCAGATTTTATTATGTTTTCAATAACATATATACGTTCTAATACTCTACCCTTAATTACTGGGTAACTTATGTACTTATGATATGAGTATTTAGCAAGAAATTTAACATTATGGTTTCATTTTAACGTTCAAACACACATATAGTGACGGGGCGGTATATATAAGGGCGCGTATAGTTATTTAAGTGTTGTTATTAGTTTGTCAAGTGTTGGTATAAGTATCACTGCGTAATTAGTGCTACGTAATAGAGTTCTAAAAACGTTTCCATAATCGTTATTCAAGAATCGGTAATTATCGTTGAAGACAAAACTGTAAACAAAGCTGCAGTCCTTATAGCCAATAATTTTCTACCAGCGCGGCGTTGGGAGCTCGGCATATGGGCAAAAGTGAATAGAAACTTTCATGGAAGCGTTATTACATTACAATAAAGTTAGCAGTTATAACTAAGTAGCAGTTATAGTTAAGTAACAACTATGTCTATGAAATTGACACATAAATAGTATTTTTCTGATGGCTGTTTTGTATCAAATTTAGGCGCAGTTTTTTTATTTATTTCTTGCGCTTAGAGGAGAGATGGTACCCCTACCGTCATACAGCGCCAACTAGTACGAAAGGTATACTTCTAATCTTTTCATGATACAATTAGTAATAGCAATTGTTCGACCTAACTAAATTTGTAAATTATTATTTTGTAATATCTATGAAGCTGGTGGCTGGTGGCTCGTACTTCGTGGCAGTCTATGGGGGAGATCAATGTTCAGCAGTGGACTGAAGCTGAAATTATGACAACGATGAATATTCCTGTTCTTAACAAATTCAATTTGTATTTAAAAAAGTATTCTTCAACATATAAATGTTTAACAGAGGTTTTATAAATTACAAAATTAAAGTAACCATACGTTGTTAATTTATTTTGACAAAATAATTACTTTTTTCTAGTATCATTATATTAACATAAATAATAATAAATAATAGAGGAAATTAAAAAAATTATGTCTTCTTTTAGTGATTTTAAAATTGTCTTACCTAGACAATACAAAATATATAAATATAATGATCTTCGAAATGAATACTGATTAACAAAATGTTTTAAAGCCCTCCTTCTGGCACATATGTCACTCTCCCTCTCTATTTAGTCAAGCAATAACGCCCGACAATTTACTTTCATGAGCTCTTTGATACGTTCCCAGCGATAAATCTGTCAAACGGCTACAACTTTGGTGAGGTAGATTATGTGCGATTAAATATATGATAGAGTCATAGCATATAAAATGTCAAGTACTGTATAGACATATCCGCAGTGAACAAAATTAAGATTATTTCTAAATCATTTTAATAAATTTATTAATCCCGACAGCATAATTTATTAGGTACGTTCAAATACTGCAATAAAAATTGAAGTCTCGGTCAGAGAATCGTGTCAATTGTTAATATTAATATTCTTCAGTTCTGCACACAATAACTCTACTATAGTCTTCTTAATCGAATTTACCTTACCTTAATGTTGTCGCTTCTTCTTACTTTTCTAATATTATAGATATCAAAAGCAGTGTTGAAAATTAGCTTGACATCCATATCAGTAAAGATGAGGTGTACAATTGAATAAACTTTAAAAATTTAACTGTTGACACTGCTGTTTTTACATTCCAGTTGCACAAGATATTGTACAAGACAGTTGTTGACTTTGATCGTAACAACTCAAGTTAAGTCGCAATATATATATATTTAGGAGATCATTACTTTATTATAGTCATACATAGCGGATTTACCGCCTAAACCCGTACCAATTAATCACTTGCGTGAAGCTCGCACATAAGAAAGTGTCGAACGTCCCAAAAGAGCGTGCGCCTGTACATAGAGATTGACAGGCGTCGGCGTTTCAGTGCATTAAACTCCTTTGAGCAAATCTCCTCGTAGTGCGCACGCGCCGACGTCGAGGGGAGGACGAAAATAGAACGACTACTCGCTGGCACTTTGGGACGGCGATTCGAGCTCGAGCCGCGTTGAAAACGCTGAGCGCGGACTCTCGACGGGCAACGGACCACCATCTGGTCGTGTATCGCTCAAATCATGAGCCAAATTCATTAAACATCAAACCCCGTGTTTATTTAATAGCAAGTGGAGCGATCACCTGATGGCAAAAAGGAATGCCGTCCATAGACGCTTACAACACTAGAGTTGTTGAAGTGCCACCGGCTACCCCACTCACCTGATGAAATGCAAACGCGTGATTACTTTCTTCACGTTAATCGTTTGAGTGTTAGGTGCTTCTGTAGTCGAGTACGATAAGGTGTAATAATGTCCAATAGGCTGCCGCAAAACCAGGAACAGGAAATGCAGATGGTCAAGATACATTTGGCGACATGACTGTTGGCCACTACTTATTATTGTTGAGCAGCGACAACTGTAAAAAGTTAGAACAATAAACGTATCAGTTTTAAGTTCCTTTTACAGTAATCCGATAATGTAAGAAATGTTTTTTCAGCACACCATTTCAAGTGTCTGATCGCCAAAAGTCGTGCTTAGTGATTTCTGTAGTGGATTTTTTTTATTTGAGTATTTATGATCTTCCTGTTTCAGCAATACAATTCTACAGCGTAATTTTAATTTAATTATTTTACATGACCTTAATATTAAGAGCAATATGATATAAACCAGAGTTTTATATTTTTGGCTACATCCCTTATACACTGGGCAATGAGGGAAAACAATATAATTAACAAAACATATGATATGATATGATTATATAAAATATTATAAGATACATTTTACTATAGAGGATGTTCACGGTGAGCTTAGAAAACAATAGAAATTTCCAGAAAATAACTTGAACTTGGACGTGGCCATGTGGTATGTTAGTTAGATGTTGTATAACTTTTGGTCTACTATTCGGTTGAACGGGTTTAGTTTTTAAGTAAAATACAACGCCCGCTCAATAGCAGTAGCATAACGAATTTGTTCTGCATTTATTGATGTGTTTATGCCCTCCAAGAAGAATAACAACGAAGCACTAAACAGCGCTGTATTTGATGACGTTAAAATAAATTACATATTCAGAATTTTAATGAGATCGAAAAAAAAAAACATTATTTGGCACTTATCACCTTACCAGCCAATTCTACTATACTGGGACTACTAATTACGCATTAAGTACTTTATATCATTCGTCCATTATTTTAACTGCGTAGTGGAGGAATTTTGGATACCCCAGTACGCATTTACGCAGCAGTTAATTCTAAGGCTTTAGCCTGCAAAATGTAGCCCGAGAAAACATTGCTAAAGTCTCTGAGGAGATCAACGTGTGCGGCCAATGTAACATGCATGCGTGCATGCATGTACGCATTAAATTGCCTTTTGGAAAGAAAGTAAATGATACAGCAGAAGTATGACCTCTACTTCACGTTGGTCTTCTAAGAGGCCGTGTTCCTTCCCCACATAAGTCTATAAAGATAACGACAACCACATGGATGACGTTTTATACTTTTCCAGTAAAAAAAGTATACCCACCGTATCTATGAATGGAAATGATCAAATGAAATCATTCACTCGTCGAAGTAAAAAATATAAATTTCATCTATAGATAGTAATTTTAATATCTACCATAGTTTCGTAATGAGGTTGCTCTAACGGAGAAGAAACAGGCGAAAGAAACTCCTTAGGTATTCTTTTTTTTGACATTTTTTTCCTTAACATTCTATATAATAGAAACAGCTTGGAAGCGATCATCTCATTCCCAGTGGTTATTATCATTAACGCATTCATTTATTATAACCCATTTTAAAAAGATTTTCTTTAATAAATTTCTTAAACCGGTTAATAGACAGGCTTTGCGTATTAACTGGGATTTTCTTGTAGAAGCCACATCCAAGTATACACGCCTATATCAGTAGTATACACCGCCCAATGAACGAGTTACTTAGTCTATGGAGTCTAGTAACAGGCGTTACAAAATTGTAGTATTTACATTATTTACATCAGTATTATTATTAGAATTATCAATTTTATGTCAATCTGCAATACCCTTTGTATTTCGAATGTCGATGGGATCAGTGATCATTTGCCTTCAAACAAACTGATGCGCAGTTTCCAATATTTTCTTTAAGGAGAAATTTAAAAAAATCAACAGTATGTGGTATAAAACAGAGAACTCATGGAAGGGCCAAATAGACTTATACACTCTCAATATCCTCAGCAGTACAAGCTATTTCCTTCCAATGGTCGGTAATTCTGCTCTAATTAGCTTCCAGCTTACCCGCCGGCGGCGTTTTCTATCGATCACGTACACGCGCTTTATTGTTTTGCCCACCGCCCGTATGTTTAAATAAAGTTTTCGTGTAATTAGGTTATTCCACAACAGTTATATTGGATTTGTAATTTGTACGTAAAATATATAAATATTTAAGTGCAGGGATTAAAGATTTTAATTTTTGGCGACATCTCTCATTTGAATTATTATTGTAAAAAGATATTGTTGGTATGCTGTAAAGGAAATAGCATACATAGGCAATTGCTTGAAATTAAAAAAAATAAACCCTACATTGTTTATTTCTTTTTAATTTCAAGCAATGCTTGCCCTTTGTATGCTATTTCTTTTACACTTCAACCACTAGGCTTACTACGTCTTTTAAAGCTGTAAGGGAAATAGCATACACAGGCCAAACATTGCTTGAAATAAAATAAACACTACATTAAGCAATGCTATTTCCTTTATAGCTTTAAAAGACGTAGTGAGGTTAGTGGTTAAAGTGTCTGGGCACGAATCCGGAAGACGTTAGTTCAATTCCCGCAGAAAAAGGACGAAAACCTTTAAGTCCAAAGAAAGATTAAAAAAGACGTAAAAAATATTAATGTTTCGTCTTAAATGCAGGGATTAGTACTATTACATTCAAATATCCTTGATGACTCCGTGGCGCAGTTGCCAAGGTATTGGTTTCGGCGTCGGGGGTGGTGGGTTCGATTCCCACACGAGACAACTATTTGTGCGACCCACAGATAGTTGTTTCGCATTTGGATGTTTGTCCTCGTGCAATTTATGTTTGTTAAACGTTCTTACAACACATAATATAATATGGATAAAGTTATCCTAAAGTGATAGCAATGTTTAAAAAAATGTTATCAAGATTTAGCTGTCTAAGCACTAATCAAAATATTGATCGGCATAAAATAATATTAAATTTGAGCATAGGCTAGATTTTTCACCTCAGTCACCTCTTAAGTGTTCCCAAGAAATCTATTAAACAACGAAGTTCATCAAAAACCGAACATTTGTATTGTGTGTACACGCGTACAATATGTTACGCATAATGTTTAACCTTTCGCCTGTCCCATTGGAGTCTCCCACAAGGTGACAGTACACAATAGAAGATATGATAAGTGCGATTACCATATACTGCATTCAAAACTCTCCGCTCCAGTCATAAGGTTCGGATTCAATCTGACCTTTGTCTGTGTTGTTCGGTTTCGCCGTCCGTTGGTTTTTTGCTTTGGACCCACGTGGTGCGACACATGTTTCAGACCATCGCATCCCATACAATCCGGGAGATGGTAGATAACGAAGTTGCCGATGACTATTGGAAAGTGTGCGCAAAAGCAGATATCGACGCCTCTTAAAATGGTAAAAATTCACGAATTCTTTACGAAAATATTCACATTTTTAACGCCTTTACTGTTTTAGTTGTTTTTTACGTATTAATTTCATAGATATTGCATCATAAAAATTAGTATTAATTTATTCTTCTTCAGCATATTAAATAGAAAAAAGCACTGTGTGTGTGTTATTTTAGTACGGAAACAAGTTTGTTGTAAACATTACTCTTGATATATACGATTTCTGTCGCATACATATGAATGCATTTGCATTTACTGATAAGGTTATGTTAAAAATATCAAGAACATTTTATTGACATCTTGAATGACGATTTCCCGTTATTCTTAGCTGATTTAAATGAAATTGGGAGCTGACATAATTTATGCTCTTTACTAACACGATAGATTGCCTTCTAATCAAAACACATAAGAGTATTTAATTTCAAAAGCAATTTTGTGGGTAAAGCAACAATGTACAATGCAATAACAAAGAAAATAATGCGCCGCTGCTGAGGTTTGTAAAAGAAATAAATATCCAAAGAAGTCAAATATTAAGCTAGGTGACTGTTACTAAAAACAGCAAACATAAAAAACCAATGAATCAGTAATTCTCATGAAGATGTCTCGATCCTGCTTAACCATATGTGGCGCACATTTCAAAATTCCCTTCCATCGTTTCACGGATCTCCTCACCCCCTCTAAGGGAACCACTGAAAAAATGGGACTCGCAAAGCATAAAAGGAGACCCGTATTCGAATATAATTAAAGTTCACAATTGTGATAATTATAAATCGCGGTACGATTATGTAAAAACCATTTCTTGTGCCAAGGGACTTTTTTTTTCGCCTTCGAGGTCATTGGCCTAATTTTTTCACATGTGATTTACTAAACCTCTTTGTTTTGCCATATCGGCGTGAAATTTATCTGGCTTAGTCTTGTTGCTTCTATCATAGAAATTACTGTATTTGTTAGTATAAACTCTTCTTAAGATTGGTGTTAAATATGCGACGTGTTGCATTATTATTTTTCCAATAATCAGATTTTTACTGTGGTAGAGAAACAACTTACATAACAGTTCCTGCTGCTGTAATAGGCGAGCTTGAACGGAGAAACACTTTCAACGGTAGAGCGGGCTTCATATAAAGCCGTTGAAACATAAATGCAAAAGTATAAATGTTTTTCTGTTGAAAGAGATCCCCTTCCTGAATCTTTGATATAACGAAAAGGTTATGAATTATGTTAGGAGTCGATTAGAGTCCCAACCTTTACCAAGTAATCGTCATAATAAAAACGTGGTTTAATAATGACGTTATTTCAACTGCTGTTGGTATAACTTATTATTATTTCTAACATTTTTCTTAATGATTGACCTTAAATGTTCTTTGATCTTAAATGTTCGCCCAGTATACAATATAGCAATGGGGTTTCTAGTGATAGTTTATGAAAACGTTGGATAAAAAATACACTGTTGAGATAAAACTATCATCGAACATCTGTCATGATTACTATCTTATCAATTTACTGAAAAATAGCCGGTGAATAATTTTGTGAACAGTATAGACTGTTTGAGTAAAAAGACATCATGTGTTTGGTACTCAGCGTATTTACGCTGTTTATTTTAGGGGTTTTGTGTCAACCCCAACAACTTCCAATCGTCGGCATTACTCAAGGAGTAGTCGTTGGATCTGTTGCAAGGGATGGAGATTATTTTGAATTTTTTGGAATACCCTATGCCGATTCAACGTCAGGAATAAATAGATTTAAGGTATGATACACAGAATAATCTATATTTAACATTTTTAAAGCTTTATTTTATATATTATTTTAATTGTTTTTATATTAATATAGTTTTAAGGTAATAATATTATAGTTTAATTATTATGAAATGAACAAAGAAGACTGAAATTAATAATCGCGACGATTAAAGCCCCGGCGGTTTAGCATTGATCCCTTGGGAGAGAGGCAAAGCCCTTGTTTGGGACGCCACTTGTGTAGACACTTTGGCTGCCTCTCATAGTAAGGAAAGTGTAAATGGCGCAAATATGAGTCTTTATGTTCAGATTATGTATTTGTGCCATTGCTGTTGAAACATTAGGTCCGTGGGGTCCCCGCACATCAAATTTTTTAAAAAGTTTATGTCCTAGGCTTAACGCCGCGGCTGGTGACAAGAGAGCTGGTTCTTTTCTCGCGCAAAGGTTGAGCATAACTATTCAGCGAGGAAATGCAGCTAGCGTTCTTGGCACCATGCCATTAGGTTTATTAGATAATATTACAAAAAAAAAATCAGGTGCGATATAATTTTGTTTAACTGACAAAATAGAATACGACTTTTTTAATACTAATAATACTATACATAATTTACAAATTTATATCATTAAAATAACCTTGGTTTCAAATTAAAATGTTGATTGAGGTTGATTTAAAGTAAACTACTTTTTATGATATTTTGCGGTGCGATTTTCTGAAAGTTAATGTCAACTTTTCTCATAGGTAAAAATAAAGTTGTAGGCAAGTTTTGTAAAGTTATCACATTTCCACGACATTTTTATCCGATTATTAACCGATGTATACAGATTGCAAAAATAGTCAATATAGCCAGATAAAGCAAAGAATATTTTCCTTCCGTGAGTTCTTCAGTTGCAGCTTATTCTTCGAGGCTCAGATGCTAAATGTAAGTCGTTCGAGTGTGGCAGATCTTAGTAGAATCTGGTTTCGTCCAGAGAAGGGAAGAAAGCTAGCCTTCTGAAAGAAAAGAAATAGTAATCACTATAGGACTCATCGGAGGTCGAACCTACGATGAGTCCGACACTAGTCGGTACATACACCGGGTTTACGTGAGTTCAGCCGTCTTATTACTACTTTAATAATGTCTCACGAAAGATTTAATCATTCTATTACAAAAGAAATACCTCGAGAATAACCTCGAAGAACTAATAAATGTTGTAGGGCCACGCAACAGTGTCCGCTGTTACACGAATGGGCAGGTCCATCCGGGTTAGTACCATGACCTCACAGAAGACCGGTGTAAAGTAGAAGTATTACACTTCTCCGTTTCATCTGTTGAGTGAGATTGCCTTGACCCACTTTATTAAAAGGTGGCGAGGCATTTGCAACCCTACGGGTGTTTCAAATGTCCATGGGTGACGGTTATCACTTAACATCAGATGAACCGCCAGCTCGTTTGCCACTTTATCACATAAAAAATAATGTCGGGAGTCAGAATTTTTAATTCTTATATACGTAGTGATTTACACATCCGCGGCCCTAAAATATTCGGTGAGCACAGATTTGATAAGCTTAGCTGCGCTCGCTGGGATGCGTTCTTGTTTTTCGATGAATTCATGATATCTCTGTACGGTAAAGACCACGTCACTAGTGGTATGAATATGAGGAAATCACCTGTTGGTGATTAATAATTCTGAATTGAGACTTTATTGAAAACTGTCCACTGATTAGACACTGATACATAACGGATGATCAAATTTCTCATACACAACCTTATTACGATAACCGTATTGGCGACTCTTGGCGAAAACTCAATTTTTATGAGCTACACCGCTAACTTCCACTGTCTGTAAATGTTCGAAATTGGTCTTTGGATGGTCAGCTCGAAGTTCTATTCTCAATCCCACAGAGCAAGACTGGCACTTTCTGAGACAACGAGTAACATCAGTAGAGATCCGCAGACCATTAGAGTAAATAAGTTAACTGTGGTAGGGTGAAAACAGTCTTCACTGTTGTACGAATAGTAGTTGATCAGCGTTAAGTGGAAATGTTATATTTACACGTTTCGTTTTTTGCTTGAGGTACCCGGGGCCCACTTTTTTAAAGGTTTTTAACGGATCTGCCTGTAGCATTGGATGTTGTAGATGTCCATGGATTGCGGTATTCACTAAACATCAGGTGAACCACCAGCACGTCTCGCTTCTCAACTATTCACCTAATAAAAAGACTAATGATTGTGATTATCGATATACGAAATTATACATTCACTAGCATGCCCAGACGATAAAAAAACTTTATTGAACAAAAAACAAACTAAAAACGTGTTGCAATTTTACTTAGCGAGCAAATTTACTAGTATTGCTGACGAAAACTTTTCCTTGCTTTTTTATATACAAAATTGTTATCATAAGACTGCCTAAAAACTATCGAATTATGAAAATGTTCTTTCGCTTAGGTGCCCGTGTTTTTTTGGCAAAACAGTTTATTGAAAGTTTACTAATTAACAAAGGAAACTTATTATTTATATGCGTTTCCTCATTTCTATTACCAATAAAGCAATTAATATATAGCATAGTGTCCTCGCACTCGCCTTGAATTCAATATTCTCAAGTAACCTGAAACCTGATTTGAATTGCAGGGGTCTAATAAAATTTATTTCTGAAATGCAATTTTACTAAGAAATTATAATCAAAGACAATATGTAAAAGATAGGTAAGATCATCCGATTTGCGGTGGGATAGATTATGCCTTAATCTGAGAATATTTTTGCTCCGCAATAAGAAATTTATAGCTGTTAGTTTATTTCAAAGAACTTATTAAGTTTTAGAGAGATGAACAGCATATAATAATATTAAATTACCTTTTGCAGGCACCATTACCTCCTCCTACATTTCAAGCTCCTTTTATTGCTAACAGAAACGACATTAAATGTGTAAGAGCTTTGGGTGTTGGATACGAAGGAACAGAAGATTGTTTAGTTGCAAGTGTCTTTACTCCAACAACAAGTAATACGGCACGTCTCCCTGTAATGGTATGGGTCAAAGGGAGAGAATTTGACAACATTTACGGAAATCAATATTCTTTTAGTAATTTTATGGACAGTGGAGTCGTAGTGGTATCTTTAAATTTTCGTGAGTCCATTTTGGGATTCCTGTGTTTGGGAACAGAAGAAGCTCCTGGAAATGCGGGATTAAAAGATATAATCGCCGGCTTGCGCTGGGTCAAGGAAAACATTGTCCAGTTTGGCGGTGATCCAGATAATATAAGCCTTTTTGGACATGGTAGTGGTGCAGCTGCAGTAGATTTAGTATCATTGTCCCCTATGGCAAACAATCTTGTCCATAAGGTAATAGCGCAAAGTGGAACCGCCTTATCTCCATGGGCGGTATCACGTGATAATTTGAAATATGCTATAGAGGTAGCAGAAGGTCTGGGCCATACTATCACTAACATTCAAAGCTTGGCTGATGCTTTTAAAAGAAGCAGCATTGCAGCTATAATGGCAGTTATTAACGAATTGGATCTCACTGATAATTCTTTAGCATTTTCTCCGTGCATAGAGAAAAAATTGGATAATGAAGAGTCATTTATGACTAAGTCCCCGTACACAGTCTTAATGGAAGGCGACTATCAAAAAATACCATTCATGACAGGTTTCGTTGATCATGAAGGAACGATTAGAGCTGAAGAAGCCTTTAAGGCTAATTGGTTGCAAAAAATGGAAGATTCTTTTAAAGACTTTATCCAACCCGACCTGGACTTAGGAAAAGACGAAAGTGGTCTGGAAGCACAAGGATCCATAAGATCGTTTTATTTTGGAAATCGAACCATAGACATATCACAAATTAACAATTTTATTTCCTATCACGGTGATACTATGATTTTAGTTTCAGCAATAAGAGAAGCTCGATTACGCGCGAGTACCTCTGACAGCCCCGTTTATTTGTATCAATTCTCTTATAAAGGCGTACTAGGAAATTCTTTTGTTGGACCAGTGATTTCCAATACTGCCACTCACAGAGAAGAATTAGCCTACCTATTTCACAATAAGGCGGATGTTTTTGTGATTCCATCAGTAATGGATTTAACAGTAAGCGACATATTAGTGGAGCGTTGGACAAACTTTGCTAAAACAGGGTAAACAATTTTTATATATTTACATAATATTGTCAAACTTTAAGTAATGATTTCATACATTTTTACTTTTATAAAAATGTTGGAGATCTGGTATGCGTATCATGATAAAACTACTGGATAGTTTCCAATTAATTGTTCTAAGTTGTATTTCATAGACCTTTATCTAAAAAAGTTTAGCTCTTGTCTAAAACTATATTATAATATTTTCATTTATTGAGGTTCCGTACCATAAAAGGTAAAAAAGGAACCCATATAAGATCACTCTCTTGTCCGCCTGTCTGTCTATTCATATTTCACTAGCGATTTACTCAGGAACGGGTGGAACTAGCAAGTTGAAATTTATAGAAGATACTGAGGTGTATAGTCCCATTAGGTGTATGAAAATAAAGATCCTGACTCAGCGCGATAAGTTCTTGTCAAATTTAGATTTTCGCGAAAACTTGAAGTACCAAAAATAACCTTAATTTTCAACTTTTTTATTTTTAGGTATTTCCCCTTTACTTGTGCTGTAAGACCTTGCTTTTAACCAAAATTGACAGTTCTAGGTCAAGTGAAGGTACCCTACAAGTTTTGGATCGAAAACCTATATGGTAGTTCCCATTGATCTAGAATCACAAAATTTTCGAAAAGGCTAGGTCTTACATCACAAACAAATGAAAGATTCTGAAAAAGTTGATATATAGTTTTCGCAAAAATCTAAATTGGCCCATATCCTTTTATGGTTTTGACTTATCACGTGTTTATCGCTGAATCTCATAAAAAAGACTTCTAAGATATATGAAGTCCGGCAATCCACAGTGGATCCACGTGGTGACTATCCCTGATGCCCCCACCACGGCCAGCTCGGTGCCAAGACCCCTGGCAACAAGCCCATAAGCTAAGCAAACTTCTCCATCGATTCATCAACTGTGAACTACTTGTTTCTTATTTTAAATGTTTAATTATTTGATAATTAAAAGATACTGGATATCGACAACAGCTGTTCAAAATTTTCAAAATTAAATTGTATTTGATTTTTTAGGGTACCGGAAACTGAATTTTCACAAATAGTTTGGAAACCATTTAATATTGAAACGTCAAGTTATTTGAGAATTCTTGATGACGAAGAAACAAATGAAGACCAAGGAGGAAGTCTTGAGGTGGATTTAGAAGATCCACATCCTGAGACACTGATATTTTGGGATCAAATTTACAATGAATACTTTGTAGATGCTAAAGGGAGGTGGACTATTGAAGAAAGGGTAGAAGACGATGATGATGAAGGTACTGTTGATGAGGGTAATAGCGAGGATGGTGGGGAGGGTAATGAGGACAATAATGAAGATAATAACGAAGATAATAACGAAGATAATAATGAACCTGAAGAAGCAGATGACAATGAGGGCGGAGAAGGTAATTCAGCATCAAGAATATTTGGGTGCACATTTTTAATAATATCGCTTTATTCAATTTTAGGTAAATTTCATATGTTAAAACTAATGTCTTAAGTTTATCTTAATAGAGACTAAGCTCTTATTACTTTTAAATGTGTTTTGGATAACTTTTTTGTATTTCTGTAGGGAAATTCATTCGAAGTTATTTTTACAATTCAACATAAATTTATCAATAAACGTTTGCATTGTATAAATATACCTTTTCAATGTAAATAGTAAAACCCATCTTTTCGTAGTTGCATAAATTCTGTTTATTGTTTCTAGTAATATTTCTTCTTAAGGTAAGCCAAGCTTAAGAATACATGTACTAGTTGCTTAGTTTTATAAGTTTTCCTTGTTTTTATAAAGTTGAAAACAATGAAAAGTATATGTCTAAGAAATGGCATCGCTTCGAATTACTATAAGGCGCTATGGCAATAAATTTCTGTTTACTTTAATAATATGGCAGTCATATCAATTTAAAGATTAACATTTAATGATGGAGGAACACCTTAAAGATTAATTTTAAAATTAACTAGAATTATATTCCGTGACAATTTAAGTTCTAAATTTAAATATGATAAAATTAAGCTAATCAGCAAAAGTTTAGTTATACATGTAGCATTTTCAATAGTATTCATAACTATATAAAATTAATTTTACTTATGTCGTAACAATTTTCTTATAGTAACGTAGTTATATGAAATTGCTAGTAGGAAAGATGCATATACATGTCCAAGCTTGTAACAGTTCGGTTAAATTGTACGAGATAAAAAGATAGATAATTTACGCCCATGAAAACCTCATGTAGGAAAAATATTATCATTAACAGAGTACTCAATAAGAGCACTACGAATAACATCAGTATAGACTTTGTATTCCTCGCGTTTCTGTACTATTGGCTAATACTGCCAACGCCATTGATCGAGATCAATCGTGCTGATGAAGCGTGAAATTTTAGAAGGGTCACGGCACCAGCATAGTGATACAGAGGTCAAAAGGTCATGTTGTGCGCCTATGCGTTTATGCAAACAAGCGACCGTAGGCGGCTTGAATGTCATACGAACACTTTTAGATCCGCAGCGCACTACTTTATGCTTGAGATGAGGTTTTTGTGTGCATGAAGCGAGAATTCATCCTTTATCTTAAACTAACAAGTAAAACTAATCAAAAGTACTGAGCAATTTATCGCATGTTTGTAATATATGCTATGGAAGTAATTAAAAAACAGATTATTATTATTGTACCGTATTAGCTTCTGTTAGTAAAAATAGCAGTAACGATTAATCATATGTTATGCGGTATTCGATAATCTAACTGTAATAAATTAATTATTATTGTTCTAATTAATGATAATATGAACTGAGCTAATAAATGTTTCAAAGTAATTCAGTGAGTTTAAATAATTACAAATCGAACTTTTCATTTTCCTTGCGCATATGTTATATCATATATTATTATCACTGAACATTTTATTATATAGAACGAGATGAAATTTTATTTTTAGATGTATTGCTCATTAGTCATGTTGCTTCACTTTGTTTTCTTTCTACACCCGCAAATGTTAAAACTTAATCATTAAATAAATAAATAAAAATCTTATTGGACAAAAGAAAATTGATTTTATTTGCTAAATACTTAATGAAATAACAAATTTATTTTTTCTATCCTCAAATGGTGATAAACAACAATAGTAAATAAATGGATCAATTTAAGTTTTGATTGAATTATTCAACAACCGTGAGTTAGGCGTTAAAGCTAATTTTAGAACAGGGCAGTGCTTTGTTTTATACGAACTCACTTAGGAATGTTTATAGGAATACCTTATAGTGCCCATAAAACGCTTATAGGGTAGGTCAATAAATCGCGAAAGTTTTGCAGCCGAAACCCGCAAGCACGTGCAGCTGAACTTAATAAAACGACGGACATTAAATTTTAATCGCGTATAATTAAAACAATGTGCATGCGCTTTTTTGTAACACATGAATATACGATGAAATATACGATTGTCGAAGATTTTGAGATGAGAATATGTTTTAATTTGAACGAGAAGCACAGCACATAGAAAAAACGGAACATAGTGTTTTGACCTAAATATGCTGGGGAACTGTTTGTAAGTTCACGGTTTTCATATGAAATCAATATCAAATCGATTTCTGCTTATAATTATAACAATAATATATAACAGTTAGTTTAATCTGAGCGTTTTTATGAGTAGCTGTTAGTGGTAGGAATTTCCTTCTATTCTCTTCTATTTTCAGAACAATATCACCCTGGGTAACATTGTTCTGAAAATATTACTAGAGCCAACAAAGGAAGCAATCACGGAAGTGAACTTTTTTTACCGTATATCTAATATATAAAATTCTCGTGTCACGGGGTTCGAACTTGAACTCCTCCGAAACGGCTCGACCGATTTTTGTGATCCTTAGCGTGATTGTCGGCCAGGGTGAAGAATCGGCCAACATGTATTTTTCATCCCCCTAAATGTTAAGGGTAGTCCACCCCTAAATTTTTTTTTAATTTTTTATGCAAAATTTTTTGTTTTTATTTTTTTATGACACAGCATACAAAAATACATACAACCCTAAATTTTCACCCCTCTACGCAGACGTAGTCGCGGGCAGAAGCTAGTTTTCTTATAAGTATTAATTTCTTATACGAAACACATTATATAATGAAACTGTTTTACTGAGGCATCTCAATTTTTATGTTAAATGTTGTATGATAACGTTTTACACCATAGTCCTGCCAGTGAACATGAATGATAATTTTTTTTATTAACGAGAAACAAAACCGACTTCAAATATCTCGCTCTGTATTCATTTTATAATTGATTTTCAGGAGTTATCCCTAAGTATCTCCGGAGCCCAAGATCCAATACCAATGAAATTAAAGCACCAGCTTCTAAATAAAAAAAGAATCATCAAAATCAGTTCTCTCAGTCGAAAGTAACGAGATAAGAAACATAAAAAAAAATAAAATAAAAAATAAAAATCTCCTTTTTTAAAGTCGGTTGAAAAGGTGTATTAATGGTGATTAAATAGTTTGATATAAAACTTGTATTTTGAAAATTTATTAAGGTATTTGGTCATTGGTTATTATTCCCGAGTCACCAAATGTACGTACAGTACAAAGTAATTTTAATTCGACTGAAATTGCCATGCACACGTGCTGTGTACGTTGATTTTTAACGATACTCTTGCTTAAGAAAAGAAATATGTGGACATACCAAAATCAAATCAAAACTAAATATTTCCTGGTGATATACTAAAACAATAGTTTTGTTTCTCGGTTTGGAAAAGAAAGCCAAAGTACTGAGAAGAACTGGCGAAATATATTCTTTTTTGTTTTTTTAATAAACAGTTTGACATGAATACATTACAAATACAATATAAGAACTCTTGATTCAAAGAGCCTGGACCGATCAATTCATTACTAGACTATTATAATATAAATTATTATCATTGAAATAATAATTTATATTATAATAGCGTTAACATACAAACGTTCTTTTACTCCTTTTTTGAATTTAGCTATGAATGCATTTTTAACATCCCGTAAACGTCCCGTTTTGTCCAATAAAAGATTTTCTTATTTTACGCAGTCTACTTGTGGGTAGGGTCACATTTGTTTGTTCCTAGTATTTATATCATGAACATTATTAAAAATTTATCACAAATAACATTTTCAAACATGTATTGACAAGGAATAATCAGCCTTCATCTCTTTAAACAAGTTTATAAATAATTAAGTTAATAAAAAGAATTTAAAATTTCCCATTTGTGAAATGTGCACTATTAATATTACGTCATATCCGGATAAGTAAACTGTTTTTGTTAAATATTGTGGTGTGCCAGCGACAACGATATAGTGGTCCTTTTACCGCTAGCGTTTTGATTATCATATGCTATTTTAACATAACGTTTATGTATTTAATGTAATGGTTTTCCCTTTGTATAGCGATACCTACTTCTATCGGTCAACTTTTGGGTTTACAGAAAGTGACCCTTTGTGATTGTCGAAATTGAATTTCTCATGTTTCGGGTTTCAACCGTAGTAGCGTACGCCAAATGAGGTTTCCACCAAATTCCTACGCGCATCACATTTAGCACTTAAGTCTTTCCCGTTTCGAAAGACGACGTGACAGTTTTCTTATCGTGACACTTTCATTATTGATTAATAGTTATGCCGCATTTATAATATCCGAAATTGAATTGAGAGCGCCGAGTGCCGAGCGCCGAGCGCCGAGTGCCGTATTTAAAAAATCCAAATTCAATAGCTATTGTTTAGATTAATTTGTTGTAAGATTGTTTAGATTGTTTAGATTCCTCAGATTGGATGGAAGTGCCGTGATAGCTCAGTGTCCGGGAGCTCGCGTTTAATTCAATTTACTCGAGCAACCTGAGTTCGATTCCCGGTGCCAGGACCAATGAAATTGTTAATTTTAAGTGCTGACTTATCATGTGCTCGGCGGTGAAGGAAAGATCGTGAGGAAACCTACATATTTTTGAAATAATAACAAAGAATATAATTCGAAAATGTGTGAAGTCCGCCAATCTGCAGTGGGGCCGCGTAGTGGACTTTGCCCTGATACCCTCAGTACAGAGGAGGCCTTTGCCCAGCAGTGGGACATTTATAGGGTGTTACTTCACTTTTACTTTTATTGGGAGGGCCAATTTTACTGAACGTGTCCACACTAATCCAGCGGCCGCGCATAAGGCACGAAGCGCCCGTGCCGCAGCCGCCTCTTGCGGGCCATGTGGCCCCACATCCTGCCTCCCCTCGCACCTTGTTCAGGTTACAGTCGCGCTGCATCGACGCAACGCCTGCCCTTTACGTAACCAAATTGACTGAGAGCAGACGATTTGCGATCCATTGGGAATATTCCACGTTACGATTTAATGAATTGTGATATGGATGTTCTGGAACCATTCAAGTGCAAAAACAACATTAAAATTTATCAACACGAAATATTTCGGTAGATTTGACAAATTGCTGACAACTAATCATTTTGAAGGATTTGCGAAATGTATACTTAAAGTTTCAAATCGAGGCTAGCTGTTATTATGCTTAGGGGGAAATAATTGTACGGATTCTGCTCAGTTCCTAATATGGAATAGTACTTTCTTACGATCTGTTAATGGGCTCAAAGTGAAATTTAACGATTTGACGCCGGAGCCATTTTATGACATTCTAAACCTTTTAAACTGAACAAAGCTAGCGTGTTTAGAAATTTAGAATGTAAACATTGACGTTAATTTAAAGGTCGTAAACTTCAACCATCAGTTAAATCGTGTGCAACTAAAGGGAGGTAATAAAATAAAATACAGGAACAAAACCTAATTTTCTGGTAGTCTGTATACTACTATTGCGGTATCCATTGCTGAATTATCGAAAGGTGCAAATTAAGGGTTCAAAAAGCTAGTTCATATCATGCCGCGGCAACACTCATATATGGTTTTGAATCAAGAAAAGTACCTGGAGGACCGAGTTTTGCTTGGTTTTTTTTGGTAAATTAAGTATTTTGGAAATAAAAAAAAATGGAAAATGAAAATCTGGTATAGAAAAAAAAGTAAAAAAAAATAAGTGTATAAATGATCGTGATACGAACCGCGGTCGTCTGTTTTGGGGCCGCCCGATTACCGACAGAGCTATTTACATATTAAATTTATCATATATATATTTGTCATTCCCTGATAAAAGGATTTTCTATATATATAGCCCCCAATCTATGCATACTAAATAAAATATATTTCCGAGATATATATATATATATATATATATATATATATATATATATATATTATACAAAAATTGCTCGTTTAAAGGATAAGATTCATTGGTCACGTTATTAGTATCTTTTGTTACTATTTTAATAATGCTACAGATTTTTTCGAAATTGAAACTTTTCAAGCGATATTAAAATCATGTAATACGTACCTAAATCCGATCATACTTTGTTAAGCGTTAGCTTATCTAACGGAACTGAACGCAGCAATCAAAATCACAGTGAGTCACATATTCAATGTCGAAAAAAAAAATAAGAAAATCTTTATACAGTAAAACGAGACAATATTATTCATTATGTCTCGGTAAGTTTTAATTAAAAATTATGGTTTCTAAAATAAAGCTTCTGCCAATAGTATTTAAAGCAAAGTATGTAAAATGATATAGTAGCCGTTATAGCTCATTGTCCGCGCGCTCGTCTATAATTCAATATACGCGAGCAACCTGAGTTCGAACCCCGGTGCCGGCACCAATGAAATTGTTATTTTTAAGTGCTCACTTATCATGTGCTCTCTGTGAAGGATAACATAGTGAGAAAACCTGCATATTTTCGAAATAATAAAAATAATATTTCGAAGATATGTGAAGGCCGCCCTGATACCCTCTGTATAGAGGAGGCTATTGGCCCAGCAGTGGGACATGTATAGGCTTTTACTTTACTTTACCTTACTATGTAAAATCAGTACTTAAAAGTAAACATAAATCTCGAGTCGTGTTTTCTTTTTACTATTGTTTTTAAGAATGAATAGGAATTTCTTTCCAAATATAATACGAATTTTAAATAGTCATCCCTTTCGTAGTTTTTTACCGTCTTATCTGTGGTGATCAGAGCCGCGCAAGTTAACCACGCAGGCTTGGCATGAAGTACCAAGACCTCACAGACGACCAGTGTGAAGTGGAAGTGGAAGTGTTACCTCTGCGTTTCGTCTGTAAGTGAGGTAGCCGGTCTACTTTATTACAAGGTGGAAACGCATATGTAACCCTATGGACTTTGCAAATGTCCATGGGCGGCGTTTATCATTTAACATCAGGTGAATCGCCAGGTCTTTTGCCACTTTCTCATTTAAAAAATGTAATTAAAAATTTATATTTTTCTGAAAGCGCTTAATTTATTTAGAAATATTTTTTATGATTCAGTATGATAACAAAACATTACCAACATAAATGTTGAACATAACCGTATAACGGGAAAAGTTATTAAAGCCTTGCTGATAGAGTTGTCAATAACATCTATAATTCCCTGTGCCAATGTCAAAGGAAATTTACATGCAAATTAGAAAACCTTTGAGGCCAAACTTATGGATTACAAAGTTCAAACGCTATCAAACATGATATGGTTTAAGGTAGATTTTAAAATAGAAATGGATTGTTTATGAATGCGAGTTCTAAATAAATAAACGTAATCTTGCTGCTATTTGTATTCTCTTCAAATCACGTAATTTGATCGAGAATCATACAATAAATGAAAACACTGCTCTTTTTTTCAAAGGTGGATACTACTACACTTTGCTTACGATGATTTTTTGATCAGATGTCAAGGAAACTAGAACTTGTATCTTGTTAGAATTTGGACTTGTCTGTACGAGTCGATGTTATTCAACTGATGACCTCAAAATTGTCAAATGTCGCTAAGGCCACATAGGCCCTTGATGCGGTGCCAACACAGCAATCGAATGTAGGTGTAAGGACTGTAAGGTAACGCATTTGGACAGATTAGTGATTCAGTGACCGTGTAATGTGTCGTGTGTATCAGAAGACTGGTTCAAATACGGCTAATTACACAATCCAAAACCGATAACTTGGTAACGATTAGTTTGGCAAAAAATTCTAATCATATACGTAACGAGAATCATCATCGGAACTGCGGATATAAGCATGAATTATGTAGGAGCTTTCAAGCAATTTTATTTGTTTCTTGTAAAAATTCTAATATTCCCTCTTGCACTGACATACAACACTACGTCACTCATCTATACGATTCATTAACGTCAATCGGCACAACAATTTCAAATGTCAAACGGCACAAGGCGTTGTTCCAGTCAAAGCTTTTTACAAGCGGCATTTTCGACGTCAACCTGTCAGAGGATAGAAAAATAGCATCTGTACGGCCAGCCTGCTGAATTATAGAGCCGCCTCGGCGGTTCGAATCGACATGCTATAGGTTTCGGATACAATGCTTTCAGAGAAATGAACAGTGCAGTGTTTGTTCCGTGGCACTTTAGCCGCTAATACGTCTCAGCTACCGCGCTACGGGAGACTTGAGTAATTGCCACCGCACCGGGAATCGCATTGATTGCACCTTGCGAATGGAAGAGAACGTTTTGAAACTAATAAAATATCTCATCAATGGTTTATTTAGTAAATAAAATTTAAGTGTATCGTTTTAATTTTTGGCTCTTTTCTAATCTCGTTCGATCATTCGAACTTTGCTGAGCCCGACACATCGTTTTAATCAGCCATCTTTCATCCGTCTCTCTGACAGTTTGTTTGCGTGTTTTGCCTAATGATGAACGTAATGGCGGTAGAGATTTCTTTCGAATTTTTTATGGGACTTTCAAATGGGACATAGAACTGTTCAAGGAGTATTTTTTGCCGACTCTCTCAAATGAGAATACTAGAGCAACCTGATATTTAATTCCGGTGCCGACACCAATGGAATCGTTAATTTTAAATGCCCATTTATCACGTGCTCAGTCTTGAGAAAACCTGGGTATTTTCTACAATATCAGCCTATTGCCGTCCACTGCTGAATGTAAGCCTCCCCCAAAGTGCGCCAACTATCCCGGTCCTGGGCAGCCCGCATCCATCCGCTGCCCGCCACCTTTCTTAAGTCGTCAGTCCATCGTGCTGCAGGCCGTCCCACACTTCGTTTTCCTAACCGTGGTGTCCACTCTAACACGTGTCGGCTCCAGCGACCATCAGTACGTCTGGAGACATGGCCAGCCCACTTCCACTTCAGCGTGCTAATTCTGCGAACAATGTCGGTAACTTTAGTTCTCTGGCGAATGACTTCGTTTCGTATCTTGTCTGCCAGAGAAACCCCAAGCATTGCGCGTTCCATCGCCCACTGAGCGACCTTGAATTTGTGGACCAGCCCCACGGTGAGTGTTGAAAATGTTTTGAAGATATGTGAATTCTGCCATTGCGCGGTGGGGAAGGGTCACTTAGCGGACTATGCTCTCTTACCTCTCCCCTATCTAAAGATAGACTATTACGTTTTTTTTTTTTACTTTTTTATTTATTACGAAACTGATACTATTGTAATTCTCTTTTTTTGTTTTGGTAAAACCATCAATACTGAGATATTTTTGCTGATAAAAATTAAAAGTGCACGTGTTTTTCATAAATCCACATCTAAAAGGATTAATCAAAAGTATCGCTTACCATTTGCGTTATCTAAAAATTTTGTTAGTATAAATGCAAGTCCGTCAGTTTGTTTTTATTGCCTCAAATGTGGGATTTGACACAAGTATTAATAATCTAGACAAATTGATAAGTTTTCTGTGCTACAATTTTGTTTTCAATATAATTTAATATTATTTGGACAAACTAATTGGAAATTCATCGATGCCGGCGGATATTAAGATCTCACTCATATTTGAGGTCAATTATCCCATTGGGAAATATTCGGCGCTCCCTTATTCGTAAAACATATTTATTACGGCTTAAACGAAGAGACACAGATCAAAGGAAAAACTCTAACATAACAAGATATCATAAAATCAAATGCCAACGTATCATTTTATCATATCTCGAACATCAAATCTTATGACATCAAAGAAAGCATTCGCAGCATTCAAGCCTTCATTACGTTACTAACGAAAAACATTCCGTTCCTAGAGTTAATTGTCCGGATGGTCTTCGAAATTTAAAAAAAGGGACTAAGGTCTCTTTACGCTTTCTTACGTGAAACCTTTTTGATGAAAGCAAATCATTAGGTACAGCGTATTATTAACTATGATAAAGTAACTAGTACGTTTGGCAACTTGTCACATAAAAAAAAAACTAGTAATCAATACGACAGTCTTAAGCGGAATTTCGGATTAAAGATCTAATTTCTTCGTCTTATAATAACTAAAATCAAATTTAGTACTTTTTTATTGTTTTTATTTGTGAATAGGTCGCAAACGAGCTAGCGGTTCTCCTAATGTTGAATGATAACCGCCGCCCATTGACATTTGCCGCACACGTAGGGTTGCAGATGCGTTGACACCTTTTAACAAAGCGGGCCTTGGCTACCTCACTCATCAGGCGAAACGAAGAAGTATATAGACTTTACGCCGGTCTTCTGTGAGGTCGTGGTACATACACGGATTGACCTGCCTATTGGTACAACAGAGAAGACTGTTGCGTGGCCCTACCACAGTCAAACACGTCTTATAATAACTAAAATCAGCATGAATTGTTCAAATTTTGATACGAAAGGCCCTAATTTACATATTAATCGAAACATAAATCTTTATTAATCATTTAACGATTATTAACGGCTGCATCGACACTTAATATCAGGTGGGATGGGAGTCAAGTGCTAGCCAGTTTTTAATTTAAAATATATATATATATATATATATATATAATTTATTTTTATATAGCGTAAATCTATATTATTTTTAGCGTGCTTTAAACTTCCAGCTGGTGTTAATTGCTGGAGACCTTTTCACTTTATTTCTGTCAAACACCCACTTTATCTTCAGACGGATGAAATGACGCAGAAAATCATATCATTTGGCATTCCTTGTCAATCATCCGTGGGATATGACAAAAATATTGGTGTGTATCTAATTGTTAAGACATTGTTGTCTTGAAAATAAACCTGCATATTAAATCTGACGGCTAAGGGGAAGCCATACCACCCCAATCATCCCTTATAATTTCAAGGGGTATTTTTAAGAATTGTACATTTAAATTACTATTTATAGCTTTTTCATACAAAAATTACTGAAGTAAATTTAAAGTAACCTATCACTCACTATAATTGAACTATTTTAGAAAATTCTATTTTATGCTTGTAAAATATTTGAGAAATCCACGGCTCCTGTTTTTGTGATAATATTAAAGCTTAAAAAATATCCGCCAGATATACATTTATTAAATTTGCTTGCAAATCCTTACTATCTTTACTTATTGTTACTAGTATTATAAACGCGAAAGTTTGTATATATGGATGGATGTTTGTTACTCTTTCACGCAAAAACTTTTGAATGGATTTAAACGAAACTTTACAATAATATAGCTTATACATCAGAATAAGACAAGGCTATAATTTATATACATATTTTATGTATATCTGTCTTTCTGTCTGAATGTTACGCCTTCTGCCTATTCTACGCAGACGTAGTCGCGGGCAGCAGCTAGAATGATATAAATTGTTCTAATATACTGTTAATAAAAACAGTCAAGATTTCGATTCTACCAAAACTATGTGCGTCGCATATGATGCATTGTCCAATCTTATCGTGTAACCGATTGTGGCTCTTATCTGATGTGTGGAGGCAAGCTATATGAGATCGCAACACATACTTACGCAAATACTGATAAACTTATCGCGATGGTTTTGTCGAGCAACAGTAAAAGATATAATTCAATGGTACTTAATTGCGTACTATGTCTAACCTTTCACCGAATTCAATTCGCATTTTCCCTTCTCTGTATAATATTAGTCCTTCAGATTTAAATAATTTTAGCGGGTTTTATTGAGACAAGTCTATTTTTTTACTAACGAAAAACAAAGCGACTACAAATATCTCGCTCTGTATTCATTTCATAATTGATTTTCAGGAGTTTCAGAAGTATCTAATAATAGATACTTCTGAAACTCCTAGCTATTAAATACGGGAAATCAGAAGTATCTAGTAATTAAATACGGGAGCACAAGGGAAGTACCAGCTTTAGAATAAAAAAAGAATCATCAAAAAAAAAAAAGAATCATCAAACATAAAAAATACAGTCGAATTCAGAATCTAAAACTACTGTTGAGATACCGGCAATGTTTACTTAAGATACAGGATTCAAAATTATTTATCGTATGAATTCATATTTCCCAAGATGAATTCCATCATAATTGAATACGTTGATCGTTATAAAAATTGGTATCTTTTGACGGCGGACCCTAGAACATACCAGACATATAGAATGTTTGGTTTTTGTGCGAATAGTAGCTCGGATGCTTCGGTACGGACTTCGCCCACGGAAGACGTCCGAAGAGGGTATCCCAAGTGTTTTAATTGCCCAAAATCTTAGGATACTCACACGTCTGACAAATCAATAAGTCCTTTAAAAATTTATATTTTCTCGGACCACCGACGTTAAAATATGTAACTATGAAATTATTCGCAAAGAGCACGAAATGTTTTTGGTTGACAACTTCCACGAGCAAAAGGTAGAATGTGTCACAACCAAAATATCTTGTCCTAGATTTTCCGTTCAGCGGTAGTTTTGTCTATATTTGGCGCGTTACAATGGATGCCGCTCAATTTTCATTATTAGCCTACCAGGTTAAGCGGTTTTCTGTGTTCCACAGACCGGAAATAACTCTGATTTGCACTACCAAAAATTTCAACGGACTCTCTTTAATGATTTTGTATTATGCAGTTGTGCTGCATTCAATTAGCGGTCATGTAATATTTAGTTTGAAATTTTAATTTAGCAGATGCACAATAGAACTGTCAGTTAACGGTATATTGTTCATGAATTTTATTTATATTACAGATAAAACTAAGAAATTGGAATCAAATTAAAATTGTCATCTTAGTACAAGCCAATTCATTAATTCTAGTGACAATTTCTTAAAACTATGAACAATCTTTCATAAAACTATGAACACATTAATTGCCCCTTCAAAATTACATATTATTCACACGCATCGACACCTAATACATATCCTGTTTATAATTTACTCCATACATAAAGCGTCCGAAAAGACCTCTAGCACAACAGCGACATTCTGAACAATGCCTGATAGGGCAGGCCGCATATAGATGTTGATCAGGTCCGACCTTGCCCTTAATTACCTGTCACAATCCTAACCCGAATCCGCAAAACGCCGAAATAAAAGGCCAATGGGTCTAAGGGTCACTCCGCGCTAAGTGCCTGTGACATTTCAGCGCGTGCATAATTGGGAGCGGGACTGACGTGGCCTCCGCCCCCAGGGGGGGGTGGGCAGGCGTCGACGTGTCAAGTCACGGGCTGAATAATATATACGGAGAGCAGTTGGATGGCTCTGCCACTTAGTGCCGAATGAATAATCTATGCAGCTGTAGCTTCGGTCTGAGTTGGTTGGCTTGCGACGCGCGCGCCGCGCCGATATGGCGGTGGAGCGGTTTCAGACAAAGCGAAAAAAGACCCTCTCAAGAACTGAGATCCGCCGAGTCGTCACGTTGATCGTGATTCCATTGTTCATTGCCCGAATTTGAAGAACGTTTCCGTTACTTCAACAGAGCCGTAATAGCTCGGAGTCCGGGCGCTCGCCTTTAATTGAATTTACTCGAGCAAGCTGGGTTTTATCCCAGTGCCAGGACCAACGAAGTTGTTTATTTTAAGTGCTGGTTTATCACGTGCTCAGCGACGAAGGAAAATATCGTGCTGAAACTGGCATATTTACGAAATAAGAACAAAAAATATAACTTTTAAAAGTTCAGTTTTCAATTATGAATTCAATGAAAATTCCCATATGTATTTTGATGCGGACACATACGACCACATACGTTAGGCCTTTCTAAAAGCTGCAACTTTAATAACCGATAATAATGAATAATTGTCGCTTTGCCGGCGCTCGTTAAATTCCCTTTGACATTATTCTAAGATATAGAATAGATAATGGATACAATTCCAACGTTATAAGTTATAATATTTTGAGAATCATTAAGTAGAACTCATTAAGTACAGGTCGAAAATATTAAAAGTAACAGCCTATATATCAATGCTTCAAACAATACAGGGGATATAAGGGTATAGTCCACTTAAATTTGCATTGATGCCGGCACTTGAACGGGATTTGTTCTTGAAGTCAGGTTCCTCGAGTATATATTGAGTTAAGGCTAACAAAAATATTAAACATATTGAAAATGTTTTCAAAACATGTCCTACATGATAACAATTAGTGACGTTGTCGAAGAAATTCGGTGATTTAGCCGTGAATAATTTATGACAAAGCATAAACTTACGATTTATCCGTGTGGTGCATGTCAGCGCTAAAACAAAAACGACCATTAAGTTGAACCGTGCAGGAGTGCATTAAAACGCAATAAGTTAGGCGCGGGCGGCGGCGCGGGCGCAGGTGTCGCGCCGGATGCGGCTGAAACGGCGGGGAAGAGGAAGAAGGGGGGGGGGGGGAGGAAGGGCGTGTAAAGAGGGTGAACGCACCGTCCTCCACATAGAGAAGAAACTTCACGCACACAAACGTATCCACGTTTACCTATAGTTGCTATTGAATAACCGTTTTAGTAGTTCTCAATAGTATTATTTGATGCTACCGTACCGTAGATGGTATTTAAAATGTAATAAAACATGTAAGTTAAAGATTATCCAAGTGCCTGAGCTAGAAGCACTTTTCAACAGCATGTATTAAAACATAAAAACTTTACTCTGATGTTCGGAAGTCCGTTGAGGAGATCGATTACCATCTAGTAAGTTTGTAGCTCATTCGCTCGCTTCGGACAGGCATAACTTACTTAAGTACCAAAATTATATTGTAACGACTTTTGCATAATGTACTGAAAATAAAATCATTTATTTCCTGCAGTTAATAAATAATATTTAAGCCATTGCTGATGTTTTGGCTCAAAATAAAGAAAACGTCCACGTCTTTTGTTTAGGACCAAGTTCAAATTAATTAGTAAAACGTTCGCATTTAATATCGGGCGTCCAGCAAAGCTAGTAGTAGTGATTGTCTCCATTGTAGGCGGTTCTAAGAAATTCATACGGAGTTATAATTGTAGGAGAGGAACGAGACAGGCGCATAATTATCAACCTTTGTGTACACGAGTTGTTATAACGGTAATGACAGGCACTTAGACAATTCATGTGTTTTGTTATGGATAGGTTCTAGATACTAAGTTTATGGAGCTTATTTAGTAAGGAAGTGGTCTAGAATAGTTTTAATATTAATGGCGGTGGATTAATTAATATTACGGTTAAGGATACTAAATTACTCGGTATACTACGAAAACAGGCACATTAAAAAAATAACACAGAACAAATAATTGTTTACGATTTAAATTTATAACTACATACTATAAAACAAAGTCGTCCCGCTGTCTGTCTGTCCCTGTATGCTTAGATCTTTAAAACTACGCAACGGATCTTGATGCGGTTTTTTTTACTAAATAGAGTGATACAAGAGGTATATGTATATTATATTTAATGCGTGCGAAGTCGGGGTGGGTCGCTAATGTAGGATAATTGGAAGTACTAGGAATGTAGAGGTCTTGAGCCGTAATTATGTCTGTACCTCGTACCTTGCAGAATTTTCGGCGATTTATAGATTTTTATCACCTTCCCAGTTCGAACACCGATATAACTGCTTTTAAATACTTCGTCTCCATTAGGTGGATTACACGTGAAATCAATTTTCACGCCTAGTTTATTATAACGAAATCTTTTCCCCCCAGTCGCGCCCCTGTGGCGCTTGGGTATTGCGGTGATGAAATAAATGGGAATCACATTACTATGGGGTTCTTTTTTCAATGTTTAAGACGATGTGACCTTTAAACATGAAACTCATAAATATCTTACTTTACAAAAAATTACTACATGCTTTTCTTTTTACTTAGGCGGGATATAAAACCTAAGATACAATACATACATTTAACGTTCCATGTTATATTTAATAATAGTCAATAAAGGTGTACCTATATCAACTATCAAGTCAGTTATTTATTTTAACCTTGGATGGAGCAATTAATCAAAACTTTAACTTACGTGAACAGTAGTACATATACTTAATTTATAAGTACATGTACTACCCATTATTGAATTAATTAAACTATGTAGTTTAGTCACGACACAGACTGTAAAAAGACAAGAGTCTGTAACAAAGTAGCCTTTATTAGTAATGTTATGTTGTGTTATTAAAATAGCATTGGTTCTATTTCGAGGCATTATCTAATACACACGATTAAGGAAAAAAATGAATACCAAGTGGAATAGTCGAACGACTATTCCACCTGGTGTGAGCGAAATATCCCTAAAAAAATGAAAATTTTTGTATTTGTAATCAATAGTAGACATTTCATTATAACATACATAGAAAATTATAAAAATTGTGAGTACACAAATAAAAAAATGTTTTGATATTACCTTAGAATATTCTAATTACCAGTTTCATATTTCTACTAAGATTCAATTTAGCATTATGGCACTTCTTTCTTTTGCTCTATCAAACGCTAAGAAAAATAACAACGAAAAACTTAGCAAGGTTCTTACAAGCTATATGGATTACAAAGTTTTTTGTTATGAGCGATACTTTTGTTGATTTATAGTTTTGACGTTATACATCTTCATAATCACGCTAGACTTCATAAAAGATGAGTATCAATGCGCGCACAGACCGATGAAAATAAAACCGTGATTTCTTGTTTTTACGTGAATTTTATAGGTACAGCTAACAGGGCTCGAAACGTCAATAAGTTTATTTTATTGTTTTATCATCATTTATAAATATTTATTATATTATTACGCGGGATAAAATTTTTATTGGATTTTTTTTTATTTCGATACGCCAGAGAAGTAAAGCATTTTACTTGCGTACATAAATACAAACACACGTTTTGTTGTCGTAATTAACCCTACCATTTTACGTTTGAGTTTCTTATCACATTTAAGTAGATAGTCATTCTGCCTATGTATTTTTATAGATTTTTTACGTAAGATCACAGTTAAGTAATTTTAATAGTCTAGCTAACTTCATGATTTTACTATTTTCGAAAAAAAAAAAGAATGCTCTGCAGAAAAAAGTCCTTTTCACGCAGGGATTCCTTAAAGAAAGAAGCCACGTAAGTAAAAAATTGTATGCGGGAAAACTTAGGTTAGGGTATGAACATAGACTAAAACAGAATCATGCTGAATTATAAAATGATCTAGTTATTGTCATCTCGCGCATATTACAGTGATAATGGCATATTAGGAACAATCTGTTCGATATTGAGATTCCGATCGGACAGAATGAATGTAACGGATGTTTTAAGGGCGGGTAGTAGAGCGCCGGCGTCCGGGTCATCGACCGTCGCGTATTTTTTGTGCCCAACGGCTGGGTTCGTTTCCTGTCACAATTTGTCTCGACTTTTTTTCCCTTCCTAAACACCGCTAGGAAAAAGTGTGTGTGAATGTGCGTCCTGTGTAACATTATATGTTATACTAGTAGTGCCCGTGGTTCCATTCGTGGGCTATTTACCTAACGAAACAAAATATGTACTAAAGTCTGACCGGATAATATAAGACTAAATTATAAAAAAATCACATAAAACAGTGGTTAACGCATAAATGGACAGACAGATAGATTATTGTACTACGCATGGTTTGAGGTATTTGGACAGAAATCATATAGATCATAACTAATATTATAAACGTGAAAGTTTGTACGTATTGATGGATGTTTGTTACTCTTTCACGCAAATACTACTGACTGGATTTTGATGAAACTTTACAATAATATAGCTTATACATCAAAATAAGATATAGGCTATAATTTATATACATATTTTATGTATATCTGTCTTTCTGTCTAAATGTTACGTCTTCAGCCTATTCTACGCAAACGTAGTCGCGGGCAGCTGCTGGTAGATCATTATGCATAATAAAGACTAACTTTGCTCGCAACTATGTGCAAACGCACGCTGTTCTTTTATTCTCAGCCTTACATCTCAGACTTAGTAGATACTCATTAGTAGGTCGGAACAATTAGAAGTGACCTTACAAAGGACAGCGATTAAAATTAAAGGATTTTTTTCATAAATTTCGGAAATAATCTTGCTGAATAAAACTGAATTAAATGTTCTAAGCTCTACGCTCTAAATTACTTTTGAATTTTACCGTGCAAAGAACTAAACAAGTTGTCAATAAATATCTTTGTAAGAAATTCTAAGTCTAGCGTCTATCTTTAACGAAGTGATTATTAATAAATGTAGAGAAAAAAAAGAGAATTAAGTTAACATTTCTATGTAGTGTACTTTTCAAAAATGTTTGACTCAATAATTAATGATTGATAATGAATAATTAACGACTCAATAATAGACAGCTTCTATAGTTTTTACATAATACTCATTCTTGAACCATAAATATCTTTTCTAACAGTTTTTACGTTGTTAACGACTTAAACATTTACTTCAACAATTTAGAGCACATTTTTAATCAAATTTAAGTCTATTACAACACAACATTTTTTATTATATAAACATGTTATTATATTAATTATCTAAACACGAGTTATTAACATCGTTAAATTAAACGGCACGATGCAGAATGCAAAATCCTAAGAGCCCGTAACATTTAATCAAATTAAACAGATTAAAATCCATAAAGCAAGTCCGTTTCACGATACAACAAACAGTTTGCAATTGAATAAAATATATCCATACTGCAATACTGCAGTACCGGAATCGGAAATCATCATCGATTCTCGGGCCAAGGTATATCCAGACTTTATCGCCAGCGAGCCGGCCATTAGGCATTCGGCTGCTTCTGCATTCGCTAATTCAAATTGACACATCAGGCCAGACGAAAATAGAGCCGTCTGGCTTCCGAGCGGGTGTGAGTCTTCATGCACCTCCCCCCCCCCCCCCCCCCCCCCCCCCCCCCCCCCCGCATGGTTTCAGCTTGTATCCGTAAATGCAACTCTCTGTTGAGATAATGGTTTTTGACAGGGCGCGAGTTCACCGTCATAAATGCGATGAAAATTCTAAGCGAATTTCCCGCGCCCGAGCGCAATGATACGATTGTTGGGCAACTTCAAACGGACGTTTTAAGGGATGCATTTTTTGTGTTAAATTAATAAAGTGCCAAGTTTGTTATGTGAGTTTTAACTTCGCTAAACTTTTGGTGTGACGAACGAAATGGTAAAATATAATCAATATAAGCTCCACGGTTCGTTAAGACATTTTAAACGTGAAATTTTATAGGCATTGACCCGTTTTCCGAGCCACGCAAAAAAAAGTTGCCTAACTTTAATAAAGTGTCAAATTACCCTTAATTTCTTTTATTTCATTCAAATGTCAATAACCATCACGGGATTAACTACACTGTACAATTTTACAAAGTGGTATTTTTATGACAAAAAAAAAATTGTGTTTTAATATAATTATAATGTTCTTACTAAAGTATTCAATCGAGATATCGCGCATAGTAATTGAGAAAGATAAACCTCTCTTATCAGAATAGGGCAATGGCGCGTAGAAAATTGTCACGCGCGTAACCCTAGTTACGCTCCAGAGCTACGGAGGACGCGCTTACGTCGTAGCGCCGCCTATCGCGCGCTCAGAGCGTAAATCTCCGCAATCGATGTATAAATAATCGTTTACCAATACGTCTGAAAGCGCGCAAACCACCGGGCGTAGTACGATATTTCAGGAAGGTGTTCCCCCGTTCGTCAGACGCAGCACATCCTATTTATAAGCGTCTATGTATAAATTCACTAAAAGTTAACACCACAACACACGTAACGAATATAAACTCGGAAAAGCCACTATTAATAATCGACCGACTGACTTTGCTACCAAAAATAATAGTCTAATTGTGAAAAGTTTATGCGCGATGGGTCGTGGACCGGGGCTATCTTGGGGCGGCTAAACTTAGTGGTGCGTGCGGGCCAGATGGTAAAATTAGTGTTCAGTTTTCGAGACGCCGTCTGCTTGCTACTCATGACGACACGGCCGCCCATTCACAGCACGCCAGCCACGGCGACGGGCGCGTAAGCAACTGCCAAACTTATGACATTCCATTTACGAAACTGCCCGCTTACTGCCAGCTACGAGGAGTTTTTCAGCAAGGCAAGGAGGTCGTCGAAATGACAGAAATGCATGAGACACATGCTTTGCAATTCGATATTCGAAAATACCTTGGCGTTAGAAGGTACTGACGAAGATTGGATTGAAATTGGATTGTTATTAGAATGCAACATGGTTATTCTTTTCATATAATAATTGCTAATTAAAAGATTTAATATTACATGTATCGTATCTTATTTAAAATAAATAAAATATTTCCAGAACTTAACCATACATATTATTGTATTTTAGTTATATTTTTATAACTTGTGAGTATATGCATGTTAAAAATTTTTATGGTAGTATATATAAAAGATAATTTAGGTGATTTTTATGTTATTTCAGCGTTATTAATGGGAATTATCGAACGGTTAGCGTCAAAGAACCTTCGAATTTTAAGGCCTATTGAGTACGGTGGCTTTGAACTTTTGAAATGTGTTGGAGCGGCAAATCAAAGGTTTTTTAAGGCTTTTGTTCCCCGGATGCGTAATAAGAGGATAATTATGTTAAATGACCAGTGAGCTTTCTCGGAGAGCACTGAAGGTACTTGCTTGAACAATACTTCTAGAATTTTCTACGTATAACGCTCTGTATTATTTTCGTACCTTGTGTAGCGCATTTTAGTTAACGAACCTATTTTGGTTGCTATTATAGTATATGTTAATTTGTGAGCTTATTCACAAAATAAAATGAAATGCTGCGAGATACAAATATTCCCAGTGTTCCATAATTTTTAATGTTAAAAACATCAACTTAAATGGCGAAATTTTAAATGTTCCAATTTTGTTGTTTTATTATAAATATTGTGAGTATGTAAAAAGGAAAGTATACTGCTAAAAGAATACTATAACGTTAAAAATTCAGTGTGTTGCCGACTTTAAATAACAGCTTTTAAGTTTAAGAAAAAAATTACATTTTAAATACGAAAAAATGTTTATTTTAATTCTTTTGGACTATAATTTACAGATGATTATGATGATATGAAGAGATTCGAAAGTAGTATTTTAATATCGATTAACCTGTGTTAATAGATTTTCGATTTTCAGATCTGTATCTGAAAATCGAAAATCTATTTTGGCAGTAAAATCGAAATTGTAACCTTTTATTCGAGATGCTAAATTGTTTTTTACACTTTACAAAAAATAAGATATTAAATTTAAAGAAATGTTATTTGGAAGAAAATTTTATTTTATTTTTGTTCAGTGCACCGGAAATATGAAATATCTTTATTAGAACATAATAATTATGAGTTAACAAATTTTATTTTATGGGATTTTATTTTGAGGGACAACGATATTAAATCCAAAACTAAAATATCGATAAAGTAGCATATATACCTATGTATAGAAATAGTATCGTTCCATTTATTTAAGTATTCACCCATTTCTAAATATCGGTAATAATGAAGGATATTTTTCTTGTATGCATATACTCATGTTTATAACAACGGAAGCCGCGTGTCCGGCGTCGACGGCGGTTTGCGTTAACGGCCTAATGGCGGCGGAATTTGTGCTTTCCATTAAAAATAAAAAACCGCCCAAGTGAGAGTGAGACTCGCGCACGAAGGGTTCCGTACCATTATCTATAAAAACGGCAAAAAAATCATATCTATTGTATGGGAGCCCCACTTAAATATTTTTTAATCTGTCTTTTCAGTATTTGTTTTTTAACGGCAACAGAAATACATCATATGTGATAATTTCAACCGTCTCTCTATCACGGTTCATGAGATACAGCCTGGTGACAGGCGGACAGACAAACAGACAGACAGACAGCGGAGTCTGAGTAATAGGTTCCCCTTTTACCCTTTTTTTATGTGAAAAGTTGTCAAACGAGCAGACGTGAACCGTCTGCTCCGGCCTCTCGCGGGCTCCGGCCACCTCACTCACCAGGCGAAACGCGAAACTATTATACTTCCACTTCACGCCGGTCTTCTGTGAGGTCGTGGTACTTACCCCGACGAGCCTGCCCATTCGTGCAACAGCTGAGGCTGCTGTGAGGCCCTACCAACCTTTTCGTACGGAACCCTGAAAATAGCTTCGCATCCGGACTCCTGTAGTAAACTTCACTTTTTCACTTCACTCGACTTCCCTGTGGACTGCTGTTTAGGACCAATGTAATTTTGTGATATTAAAAATTACAAGGGCATCTTTGGCCGCTGTTAGACACGTTCGTTGGCAATATGCTACTATAAACCTTTACATAAACTTTCTGAAAGCCGTAAACCATTTTTTTATTTATGAGTGCGAGCTATGGAGCGGGCTATGCTCGGTATTTCTCTGCGTGATAGAGTTCGTAACGAAGACATCCGCAGTAGAACTAAGGTGACCGACATAGCTCAGAGGATTAGCAAGCTGAAGTGGCGATGGGCCGGCCATATAGCTCGTAGAACCGATAACCGTTGGGGAAGAAAGGTTCTCGAGTGGCAGCCTCGTACTGGCCATCGCAGTGTGGGACGACCCCCCACTAGATGGAGTGACGACCTGTGCAAATGTGCGGGAAGTCGATGGATGCAGGTGGCTCAGGATCGTACTTCATGGCAGTCTATGGGGGAGGCCTATGTTCAGCAGTGGACTCAAACAGGCTGAAATGATGATGATGATGATGAGTGCGACGACATAAGATTATTGTGTGTTCCATTCCTCAAGGCGTTGGTGCAAATCGGTGGTTGCCGGGAACGTTACACTTAGAAGAATTGGATCGGTCAATTTCCGACGTTCCATATGTTTTTACAGCGTCCGCTAAATGCAAACGGAACGTAGTTTTGTTTGGAGGAATGCCAACAAGGTTGCAGTGACGGCAACGAATGACGCAATTCTTTAGTTACACTCAACACGTTGTGAGATATTTTTATACTAGCTTTTCGCCCGCGGCTTCGCTCGCGTTGAAGCCCTTTAAAAACTATATGATTTTTTTAAAGAAAGATATTTTCAAGCCTTACAACAATTTTTTCCAATTAAAAAATATATCCTATGTCCTTTCTGAGGCTCAGTAGTTTTGGCGCGAAAGCGAGACAGACAGACAGAGTTATTTTAGCATTTATAATATTAGTACGGATAGAAATCCTAAGGCCTTAATCTTCCCTTGAAATAAATCGTTTCAAATGTAAGAACTACTGAGCTCCTGCTTCAATTTGATAAAAGTTGTTCGAGGTTTATGTAATATGTCCAAACTCATTAAGAAAAAGTTTGTGCAGTTTGTTTTTTCGATTTTAAAATTTCTTTACGATGACAATTATACAATGATATACATATTTTCTTACTGAATATAACCGACGCTCCGACAAAACTTTTGAAAATAATAAATAGACGTGAAATGCAATTAATTACTTTACTCGGATTATAGATCCTCAATAATAAGAGATACGCATTGGATCTTCCTCAATTCAATTTATTTAGATGCCTCGTATAAAACTTATTCCATTCCAATTTCAGTAAGAATTTAGTTCGTTACTTTATTGTAAAGTTTCAGGTCGGTTATAACCGATCGCGACTAAATATTTTATCCCAGTAAGCCGTCAGTCAGTGCTTAGTGCTTTAAGGCAAAGCGGAAGGAGTAACATTTATCATTTATTCACGGTTTCACGAGTGAGTGGCACCTCAAGACAACTCGGAACAAGTGTCTGGCCTCTAACAGCTAGTTGAATTTCACTTTGTGTGACATGCCGAGAACTATTCTCTCTCTAAAATTTCGATGCTTGGTTGTAACAACTTCGGGTGTCTCCTACCTATTTTTGGGTACATGAAATGAGTTCATGAAGTAAGCTTTTTAATGAGCTACATTGAAAAATTTAAAGGAACCCTATGTTTTAGGTCGAATTTTGAAAAAGAAAACATAAATGAATGCGCATTAAAATAAATCTTTCAAATGTATAAGTATGATTATTATCACATTTGCCTTTTAAAGGCACTGTTATCACAGCGAAGACTTCTTAGTTCCACTGATATCGGTCAGTCACCGTTTTACGCAATACAAAATGATGGAATTGGAAGGCAATTGATACAATTTGGACTTCGAATTGCGATATCCGTTTATATTTTAGCGGCCTAATACGTGGAATCAATAAAAAACTATGTGTGTACTTATGTACGCACGTAAGAATTTATACTTCTTTAACATAACGAAAGAAATATAACTAAAACTTTTTCCCCATATGCTATTGCTATTTGTTTGTGAAAAAGGCATTAAATGCCATTTATAACGGTTTAATTAAATAAAAGGGAATTATAGGTAAATGCCAAATATTTCTTCCTCTTTTTCTACGCTGTGCAAGCAACTTCTTCACGTCGCTTTTTGACAGTAGATTTGCGCGCACATTAACACATCATATTTTTTTCCAAACACGCCATAGAAGTGTAACTTCAAAGACATGTTCGTAACTTTACCACAATACTATTTCAGTCAGCCATCTTGGCTCAATGGGGAACAAAGCCAAAATCACGTAGGTGTCAAGTACCAGGAGAACATGACCGGCGGAAAGTCTAAAATTCGACGATTGGCAGAGCTGTGCACCGCCGAGCCAACTCGGCCGTGGTTCGCGTATCGATAAATTATCCCTCGCTTGTTTGTTCGCCACCGAGTGACGCCAAGCACTCGCTTTTGTTCCAAATCGTAATGTAATGGCTTTACGTATATACGCGAACACTCTCGCCTGTCACCCAAAGGGAAGGTGAGGGGAGAGAGGGATTCGGTAGGCGGCCATACGATTAATGCCAACATGTAAACCTACGGACAACACATCAGTTTTATTTTAGCAAATCTAAAGTCATTCGTTTCAATAAAATTGGTGCTGAAATCATGTGTTGCATAGTTCATAAAGGAACACTATCGTGTTTTTTTTTCATATTTATTATTAAAATATTTTTAAAACACTATTTTACAGACATTTGCATATACTAAAAATCAAATAAAAATATGACAATAATTAAACCTTTTTGAAATATTTTATTATCGGCAAACATTCTTCATAAATGAAATTAATAATAAATATGAAAAATAAATTCATAGGAGAAAAAGGAAGCAGGAAGATCGGTCAAACACACAGTTTCTGAAGGCCATTAAAGTTTTATCATACCTCACTAGACCGTTAACGCCCGAGGAAAAACAACTGGTACTTTATGTGTGTTTATTAAGGGCGAGGCACACGGTGCGTCTAATCTTTCGTCACAGTAAACGACTCATTAAAGTCTGCCATCAAAATGGGCGTCGTAGACTCGAGTCAACTGCGATCAGTATATTCCAAAGAGTAGACGATGTTGTATCATCTCAACAATTTCCAGTCAAAATTTTACAGGTGTTTAAGAAAGTTGCATTTTTAATTAAATTTGATGGGAATTTAACGATTTCCATATTTTTCTTTAATCATTCTGCGATTTTCCAACAACAGACCGTAGGGATCCCTTGAGGAGTTTTCCTACGCCATCTTCGCCTAGACTTTCGCCAGTCGCGTTGAAATAGATCCCGCCGCCGATGGAGCGAAAGCGCTCAGCGTTGCGTGATTTAGTTGCGAACGAAACTAAAGAAAACGTGTCCGAATAGTAAATATCGCTGTGCCCGTTATAAAACAAACGAAAGAGCGCGTCTACGTACACCGCGCTGAGGGACGCGGTGGCCGTGTGGGGAGGGGTGGAGGGGAGCAGGGCGGGCGCCGCCCAAAATAGCTCGCACGTGCCGCTCGCCGCGGCGGCTGCCCAAGCGCACCCAAGATGGCCGCCGGCGATGCGTGTGTGCGTGTGATTTATGCAAGCAATTGTATCTGTTACGGCGCGCGTGCTATTGTGATGTGGACTTTTATACTTTTTCTTAAGGTGGAACCTGCTAGTAGACTCCGCACCATGTTAAGTGGTTAATGTAAAGGCCTACGAACGAAGAAGTTCGCCTCATATTTCATAAAACGTACAAAAAAGGTATTTTTTCCATCCGATTATAATGTGTCTTCAAGGCCTTGCCTTGTGAATAGACTGTTACTGAGCTAGTGCGCTTACCATCTAAGATATTCCTAATTACCAACCATCAGGAGTCAAGCCGGTTTTTGGGTAAAATGAAATGTTGTCATTGGTATGCAGTTCCATAGTTAAAGCCTATTAAATTTTTAGTAGTATTAAAAGCCTGAACACTTCTTTGCAATTTATACAATTGCATAAATAGTCTATACTCTTAAACCATGTTGGACTTGATGTTAAAAATCACTAAAGGTGTGATTAGAGTGTAAAATGCGGTGTATTAACCGGCTTAGGCAACGAAAGAGACCATGAATATTCATCGATTTTTCTCTAAGTACACAACCTGACATAATGAAACAATTTGTAACATCAAAGCGATTGACTATTTTATTAAAACATACTAATTTTTGAAGTTTAACGTGCAACATGTCCACATAAATAAGCAACTACCGGTATAATATCTGTATAAATACGATATATATCGATAATATAAGTGATCGATGTCAAAAAAGTTAAATTAACACAACAATTTGTAAGTTTTTAACTTTTAAACATAACATATATCATAAAATAAGAGTTAAAATAAACATAAAACTCACCCTCATAATTACCTACATCCAGACAAAATCTTTTGCACGTGTGGATGGCGGCAACATTTTTGCACCGACATTTTTCAGAAAACGTAAATGATTCATAACACCGCCGACAAATTGATAAAAAAAATTGTATATATTTTTATCCTTTGTTCGGGTCAGACACGTCATTTGATCGCATGTGGGATGTCTCTTGTCAGATTTCGGTCGTCTTTTTACTCAATCCCTTATCGTATTTCTAAAGCAAATGTATAAATAGGAAAAGATATTATTTCATGAACCGTAATCGTTGACCGTAGGTTTGGTCCCATGTCCACGAAACTTACATACACATCGAACCGACTATAAGGACTTAGTATTGTCGAGCACAACACCAAAAATCCGACTGCATATTGTAAAGCATATTATTAATTACTAGCGACCCGTCCAAGCTTCGCGCGGGTGCAATGTTATTATACATGTGAACCTTCCTCTTGAATCACTCTATTTAGTAAAAAAATCCGCATCAAGTTCCGTTGCGTAGTTTTAAAGATCTAAGCAAAGCGATTTTGTTTTATACTATGTAGTGATTTCACAGTATTGGATATATTCCTAAATGATGAAGTTGAATTGGGTGACTAGACTTTTTATATTATTAAGTGTCCAATCCGAAACCTGACCTTTTAAAAAAATCTCCAACTGCCTGCAATACTTGAACAAATTTCAATCGAAAAATTTATAAAATACTAGCTGTTGCCCGCAACTACGTCTGCATAGAATAGGCTAAAGGCGTAACATTTAGACAGAAAGACATAAAATATGTGTATAAATTATAGTCTATGTCTTATTCTCATGTGTAAGCTTATTATTGTAAATTTTCATTAAAATCTATTCAGTAGTATTTGCGTGAAAGACTAATAATCATCCATCCATATATACAAACTTTCGCCTTTATAATATTAAGTAAGGATTTGATACTTGATTGAGAATATGTGACAGATAAAGAAAATACAGATAAGTTCATGGAAAATTATACTAACCAATGAAATAAAGAAAATAAATTTCATACTCATATAATTTATGAGCTAACTTCGACTTTGGTAGTAAACTCTTTGTATTAATGTTTATTCTGTTGTGTTGCCTCGTATGCAAAGTAATTAATCTAATCAGTGTAGTGTTTCTTCCACCAATTTAAGTTAACGACACGGAATTAAATCAAGTTCACTGCTCTCCGCTTCCCAGGTACTTGCACGTTCCAGGAGGAGGTGGTACCAGGCGACCAGCGACGTTTAGAGTTTACACACACAAGCTCCAAGGTGAGCGTCATGCAGCCATGCTGTGCCCTTACATGTTTTCTGTAAAGGACAGTCTGTGCAGCTTTTCGTAACTTTTACTCATGTTAAAGGATTTTTTTACTAATCAATCTATTGTTCTATATAACCTCGACAAATGTATAGCAAAGCTTGAATGAACATCGCCAAATTAACTCAAATTTTATAAATGTAAGGAAGAAATACTTTAAATGTCCAAGGAAGAACTATTTTAAAAATACAAACAGCGAAGCAAGACTTTTTTTGGATTGTAGTTCTTTTTCCAGTACACTTGGCTGAATCTCCTTTCACGAAAGACCTAAATAAAATTTTAACAAATGTCTTAAAACCAAGTACTAGGTGCAAAATAAATTATATAAGGTGGCAACACACCTTGTGCAAAGTACAGGACGGATTCATCTCAAGTAATTTGAGTTCGATTGCAACCATCTACAGAAGGGTCGCGGTGAGTATTTTTTTCGTTAGTTATCCCCGTGTGCATTGGTAACACCTGGTCACTGCACGCATGCGCCGCCTTGGCGCACGCGTCGGGGCGCGAGCGCTTCTAAATATATCCACGCCTCCCGCCGAGGCGGCGAGAGAGCGACGCTGGAGATTTCCAACATTCCTCCCCTTCATTATTGTTTTTTCTAGGCGGCAACACTGAATTATTCGCATTGTAATACGACGCGACGAATGTCTGCGTTTCCACCTTATACGAAACGCGATGACTATGCCGCTAGGGTTGCCTTCGGTCAAATCACTTAAATCAAATTAAATAAGGAATTAATTTTTATAACATTCAGTTTCACAAATTAATCTTAAGAGCATTATTTATAGAATAGTTGCTGCAAGATACAATAGATGCAAGTAGCTCACAGATTTTCGAATGGATTGGAATAATTATTTAATTGATAAGAATGAATAATAACTGATAGGTTCTAATGTGTAATATAAGAAATATTACACATTAGAACCTATCAGTTATAACCTTTAAAAAGAAAATACGATACACTAACGACGTTAAAGTAAAGTTATTTGATGAATAAAAGTGAATGTAATCAAATCAGTACCGAATCGCTTCAGAAGAAAATAAAACCTGACTGCGTACGTGCAGCGTTGACAAAAATTAACCAGCTGATATTCCCAATCCATCTTCGTTAAGAATGAATGACATATGAATAATTCAAGCGTAGTATATTTCAATCAAAATCAGATCCGAGGTTGACGTTTGAAAGAGTATATTATAATCACAGTGATTATATTATAATTCGCAAATATTAATTGACAAAATATAGTGGATACAAAAAAAAATATATTGTTTTGAGGGTTCTTCAGTATCTTTAATTTCATAATTAGTGACATATTTCTTTTCCCCACTCAGTCAGTGTTAGACAAGCCATTGTTTATGGAGAAGAGTCATTTAACAGAATTTTTACATTATTAATACTGTACGATTTCCCATTCCGGACATTTATTACCAATATATTAATGATGTTCAATATATTAATTTAAATCTAACGAAAAAAAAAGATTCAAAGAATTTAATTGTAAATGGATGGTGAATAATCCTTAAGGTAAAGAGGCTTATGTGATTCATAGAGTAATTGCAAAAAAGAATAAATTGCTACCGTCTTTCTTGCGGTGAAATACCGAGGAAATGAGATGCAAGACTGGATGCGTGTCCTTTTAGCGGTAATAGAGCAAGAAATTATCATTACTTGCAAAACGCGATGCGGAAGTGTTAAATTATATCATTTTATAATAATATTTATGATTATGTAATATGATATGATAATCTTCATATACATATATATTTACAATTCTTCTGTGCGTATGTATGTGCCTGAATTTTTACGGACACGATTGGATCGATTTTGATGATTTTTTTATGTGCGTTCAATTGGAAACGAGAATGTATTTTTAGATTCACAATTGGGTCCACTACAATTTTTTTTTAATTATTTTTTCATTTATACGTTGTTGTCGGTTTTAAGGCACATTTACATGTGTCGGGTCCGCTAGTTATACTATAATATTCCTATAAAAGACTAATGTTTAATCTAATAAATATTTTTATTTATTCTAACGCTATTTGTGAGAGGTAAGCGAGCACCACTGCCCATGGACATTTCTAACATCTGTAACCACCTTTTAAGAAAGTGGGTTACGGATACCTCACTCACCAGACGAAACGCAGAAGTATAACACGTCCACTTCACACCGGTCTTCTGAGACTTGGACGGACCTGCCCATTCGTGCAACACTGAACTTGCGTGGCACTACCACAGTAAGGTATATAAAGCGTAAAATCAAACTGTTTTAAGGATCTGAGCGTGTTACATCTTAATTCTTAGTTTAATTCTCGATCGCTAGAACGGCAAGATTGCGTTTCTCAGTTTCATTTTTCGATCACTGACTTTACACCTTAGAAATCGGTTCCCCTGATGGTGTGAGAGGATCGAATTTCACAACATGAGAGATGTGGAGTAGGCGTGTTTCCATCCACCGATATACTCTGGCTACTTACTCAGTGAAGGAAAAGCAAAGCTGTTAAAACTTTTGTCTCCCGCTGACATTCTGTGACCTCACGCCTCACGGAAAATCGACGACAGGACAGTTCGACTGAGTAAGTTTATCAGCTCTCTCGCTCGAGCAGGAATTTCTATCTGGTCTGGTCTATAGCAGAAAAGTTTCAGACTCTGTAAATTTTGGAGCTAAACGGGCGTGGTAATACGCCGAAAGTATTAGATTTCTTAGCATGAATTTGTATCTTTAAACTCACCTTTAAAATTCATTAAAAATCGTGTAATCAATAAAATTAAATCAAACCAAACGGACTATCACCTTAAAATGAAATTATAATTAAAATCCTGACAATAGCTAGGATAACTGTTGTATCTGAAGCTCAAACAGCTCAGCTTGTCTCACTTGCTATAAAATATTTTAAACCTATTAACTTTATATATTTCTAATCCAATAAACTGCGATATAAATTCCCATTTAACAATGAGCAATCAATAGAATGATAATATACCGAGTTTGGAAAAATACGACAATAGTTATAATTAGTACAATATTCATAAAATTTTAACCTTTAAACTGAACCTTGGCTATTACCTACTATATGCTTTATTAATTGAAACTGTAATTACGCTTGATTTTATAATATATCACCTTGACGACTTTGATGTTTTAATCAAAATATGTTGTAATTAAAACTTGGAACAAAATTAATAACGTCCTTGCTGAAGTTAATTGTTCACGATAATCACATTTTATTTATTAAAAATTAGCTGAATGAAAATGATGGCATTACCTTTTACTAATGGATTTATTATTAGAAATTGTTAGTCTTAATTATTCATTATGTAGGAAACCGTAGTTCAAATATCAATCTCATTTGCGGAACTGCAGTCGTGTTGTTAGTACCTCGCCAATAAAACCAGGTTTTATTTCAAATATTTGAAATTTTTTCTAATGTACACTAGGGTAACACAATTTTAAATCCCAGTACCGATTATTCAATTTTTTACAAAGAAAAACCAGACAAAGTTCTCGGAAAAGCAAGTAACGATTTTTCTAGTTAATCTTTGAGGATTCAGAAAACTTGTTTTTCATACTTATGTTTTCTTGTCATGTTATAACCATTTTCTTTCACAAATTAAAGCCATGTAAAGTTAACAATGAGGCTGACCAAGATTGTTCAAGTCTGGGTTTTTCTAATTAGTAATAGTTTTTCCGTCATTAGATAAAATACGTCCTTAGATAAAATTAAATAGACCTAAAGTTATGACCAATTTGACACCCGTGCACACAGTGGCCAGAATTCTAAACACATATTGTCAAATATTCATCGAAAGTTATCTGTGTTTATGCTATTACATAAATTTCCGCCTAAGATTTACCCGTACATCGGCTTCGGGTATTCATTAATTCGTTACTCCCGACTGACGCGAACAATAATTTAAATCCTTGAAAATATTGTTGACCAGTCGTAATATATATCACGGTAAAATGACTCCTGAATCTACGGTGCTAATGGTCGTTTTGGTGCGCTATAAAGTGTTATTTATGACATTTTCGATAGTGAAATGGCTGAAACGACACGTGCGCCGTGCGCAAAGTAAGCTGAGATCCTTTGGCAGCTGCGTCTCGATTGTGACGCGATGCGTGAGTCAGTTTGTGGTAATATTCCGTAAAAAGTATACATACCTACCTATGATTCGCGTTATTATGATTTCATCCAAAGTAAATAATCAAACATTGTTTTGTTGTCAACAATCTGACAAGCTTTAATCAAACATTCTTGTCTTCATTAATTTATTTATATTAATGTAAATATAATGAATTGCTACATTCAAAGCAATGTGTTATTACAAAATAAATGTATTAAATTCAAAGTTCTGATTTACTAAAAGCGTGACGTTGATTAAAAGCTAGTTTAGAACACAAGTTGCTAATCGACTTGTGCATTTGCAGGTTTTTTTTGTACTAGAAAGTTTGTTCTGTGCGAGTCTTATAGTTTTATCTGGCTTCATTATCTGGCAAGGCAAAGCGACCGAAAGGCCGAGAGATAGCCAAAGAGAAAGGCCTTAAATACCCGACAGTTAGTAAGGCCTTATTCTTTACACCATTGCCAAAAATCTTTTACACCTTGGCGATAGACTTCTCAAGGCCCATAAGCCACGTAAATCATCAGTAGCAGACCGCCAAATTCTTCAGTGGATATAGATTATAATTTTCTGTTCTGGGATTTTCTCGAAAGCAGCATAGTAACAGCAATTTCTCCTTTTTGAACGAGTCGATTCGGACTGTTCACCATCATTGAAAAAACCATGACTGAGAAGACTGGTAGACTGATACACAATACTTTACTTAAAAGTAATGTCTCTGACATTACTTTTAAGTAAAGTATTCTGACCTAAGTAATAATTGGTTTACACTTACATGAAAGATCACGTGTATCTCTTGATGCAGATTATGGGTCGTGGCAATCATTCACAGATGTATGTCTTTTATAAACAATATATTTACTACTCATTGTACCTCAGAAAGACAGATACGTTTATTTGTTAAAACATGGTACAATACAGGTCTTAAAAGTTGTAACGTCCCTTATGTTCTACCATTTGTGGTGTACAAATATTACATTTTACATATTCGACTCGATAATGCTCATAATGACGGAATATTCGTATTACAAATATGAAATACAACCACCGACTAAACACCATAATTACTGTGTTCAATGAAGTGACAAATACTGTTTATCAAATACCGATATCTGATTAACAAAATAATACTTGAAGCAAGCTTCTAAACACTGGCCTTCGGGCTTTCACCATTTTGGAGTTAAGTATTGGACATGGGTATCCCTTTTTCATGAAAGGTGACACCGTATGACATGTGGGTATAGCACAAAGGAAGAAGTGTCGGTTATTTTCACAACATTACAAAAAACTGTGAGTTTGTGTTTTATCAAACAAGTTTTACAAGATTATAAAGAACTGTAAACATAATATTAATATAAAACCATAGACAAAACTTTGTTTTCATGGAAATACCTCCTTCCTACACATTTTAACAGTCCCCAAAAAAAACAGAAACAATTGATACTTGTACATAATCTAGTGGGTTATGATATAAAAATACGAAAACGGAGATAATATGCGCGCTGAGCGTTGAATGAACAGTAATAAATCTGTTTCGATAAAACCTTAGCGTTGATTTCGTCGGTTAAAAGGATAAATGTATATTACATAATACAATATAGATTTGCGGTACATTTTTTGTTGACGATCAATAAGAGCTTAAGTTAGGCCTATATTGAATAAATATGGTTTGACTTTGACAATAGTTGGGAACGCAGCAACAGGCTATGAATGTTTTTCAGTCATTACCTCAGTTCGTTGTTCGCGCGAGCTTTGTGGTTGAGTCGCTCGTAACAATTAAGATTTAAATATATATTTTGAATATAATTCAATAGCTCCGAGACATCACTGCATAGTATTAAACAAAGTCGTCCTGCTGGCTGTCTGTCCCTATGTATGCTTCGATCTTTAAAACTACGCAACGGATCTTGATGCGGTTTTTTTACTAGATAGAGTGATTCAAGAGGAATGTTTGTATGTATATATTACATTGCACCCTTGCGAAGCCGGGGCGGATCGCTAGTAATTGATAAGGCAACACATTAAATAACCACCAAGACGTACTTGTTTAAAGGCTTCAAATACCTTCTGACTAGGATGAACTACGTACGCATTAAGTGAAATCTTTTTTTAATAGGTCTTTAAGATCGAATTTCGCACATAAAAGCACTTGATGCTAGCAACTCTGGTATAGGTAAGTGCGATCGAAAAAAATATCGCTTTATTATTAAGAAAAAACGTACCTTTCTATGTATTAAAGTGTGACGAAAGCCCTTTTTGGTCTCTCACTCAGATTTTGTAACCATGTAACTAAATCATCGACACTTGATGTATTCATATAATACGTATAAAAGAATGTTGGTTAGTTTTCTCGTATACTTGACACTCGTGTGTGATCTTGTATATTTTTAACCGACTTCAATTCGATTGTATTTTTTTTCATGTTTGTTACCTCAGAACTATTCACTGAGCGATTTTGATTATTCTATTTTTTTCCGATTTTGATTATTCTATTTTTTTTAAAGTTGGCTCTTCCCACTCCTGAAAATCAATTATAAAATGAATACAGAGCGAGATATTTGAAGTCGGTTTTGTTTTTCGTTAGTAAAGAAATGGCTATCCTGTATACTAAAATTGTTTACGAGCCACATAAAGACCATTCCATTCCAAATTCAAAACGAATAAAAAGAGTGCAAACTTCCCAATTTTTACGTATCGCCCACAAATGTGAATCGGAATAAAATCAAACTCAATTCCGTTTCGAATCGACGGCCGAGTCCGCCTGTTGGTCCCGGGGAGGGGTGATTCGGCGCGTTGGCACACCGCCAGGCGGCGTCTCTGGCCGGGAGCCAAATCGGGAGCGAGCGGCGGAAAAAATGGCCGTCGCGCATCTTTGATATGCGTCAGAGGCGCGCGCGCAGCCGCCGCGATTCCTACGGAACGATGAGATTTCCACTGAGCGCCTGAAAAGAGACGGTTAGGAGGAAGCGGTTTCCGTTTCTTTTCAGTCTCTCAAAAAAAAAAACTAATCGCCTGTTACGCAACGGAAGATTTACGATTGTCCTGAACGGAGTGAAACTAAAAATTTTGTAAGACAAAATTAATCGGTTCGTTTCAGATTCAATTGACCTTTCTGAATAGATTTACGTTGATGAGTGCATTTGAAAATTCGATTTTCGTGTAAATCTGTAAAATACAAACTTCATTCGAAGAGCTAATGACTCGATAAAGGTGTAAAATAAAATTTAGCTGAATATACATACATGGGATTATGAAGTATGTAAATATATAGGATATGTTTTAAACATTCGTAAATGTATTAGGTTAAACTCTAACTAAACTGACGTGATGTAGTTTACGCGTATTTTTCCCGAACTAGTTTCAGCAACATGCTCGATTATCCATGATCGATGCTACTTACGCAAGTATCGAAACGCTCCACTGAATATTTCGAAGAATGAAGTAACTTCCATGCACGATTTATTTCACCGTGGCGTGAAAAGATTAAGCCTTTAATATTATTTTTTACCGACTGGCGGATTGTAGTATTATTCTTAATCCTGTTTATATCACACTATTCCCTCTAGAAAGTTCCATTTTGTAAATTGGTGTTTATTTTAATAATAATTAAAATTATATTAAATGTCACCTGCGTGTGTGATTTATTAATCTTGCTAAATGTTTTGCCAAAGGTATATCAGCAGTCTATACGCAATTTTATATATTACGCAATCAAGTGTTTTAAATTCTTTGTGTTCATCAACAAATCTGTGTTCTCTTAATGGTCACCTAATGGTCAAATGTAGGTCAAAAGTAGTAGGGTACAAATGACGATCGCTTTAAAAGCTCATGTTTCTAATCTACAGTCCGCGTCACATAAGTGACATGTTTAGATATTAAATAGTAGACAAATCTAATAAAATTTGTGCAAAAATTAAAATAAAAAAAATTAAAATAAAAAGAAAGAGTAAATAGTTATTAGGAGCTAGAATTCTAGTTCTTCTTAGTCCCTTATTAAAAAAAATATAGATTACTTAAATGACATCGATATTCGTAACTAACATGTTTGACACATATAAAGTGCATACCCATGTCAAAAGAAATAGATTCAAAGTTGTCGAACTTTTTTTTATGTTTTCCTATATAGCGTAGACATGCCAGCAATCGCTTACATATGTATATTTTATAGGGACATTTTTTAACGTTTGACGCCGTAGTGAAAAACAACTGCGGCCTGGCAGCGTTCCAACAAGCAACAGGCGACTCGCCCTAGTCTAGGCGCTGTCATAAAACACGAGGAACAACATTTTCAATGACCGTATGTATTAGAAAATGTCTATTTATATCCTTTTTTTCGCGTTCATTTCATTTTGATCAATTATTTGTCGCATTCCTTTATGCTTTATGAGAAATCGTTACGTAATACTGTGTTTGTATGATTCGTGTTTTTTTTTTACTTAATGAAGCTAGTTATATTGATAATTGAAGTAAAATGAGGAATTAGGATGTTAAATCAATAAGAATATAAATTCTTTTAGAATAATTATTTTTGTTAAAATTCAAATGTTTTCGCACTGTTTTATTGTTGTTGTATCATACAAAACCGACATTGTACTCGTAAATGAAACAACTAAAAAGGAAAGGAAGCAAAAAACATGGGATGGAAGCAAACGACAATTATTTTAACAACATTTTCATACTTTTTTCTTATCTATATTTTCTTCTTTTGTGGAAAAACTAAGACCAGTCATGAGGTGTTATTAAAAAAACTGAAATTTTACAGAGATATATTCTCATGAATATAGTAAATTCTATGACTGTAGTTTGATGACTTAATAATAATATTCGTTTATTTGTCTAAATATACATACAGTGCACAAAATATATAAAGAGTAACATAAATAAAAAATAACAAAACAATTATTTAGACAAAATGGTCAAGGACTCAAAGTTTTAGCACGGAAGGTCCACCCCTTTGATATTCTGTCCTAGCCAGACATAATTTACATAAAGAACATGCTTTATAATAGGTACTAAAATATTTTACATTAACTATTAATATTAACTATCCAATTAATATCTATTAACTATTATATTTAAAGACTGGGTACTCGAAGCCAATAATTGCTGCATCAAAAGCCGTCAAACTCAATGGCAAGGTGACAAATTAGTGTAAAATTTTATCACTTCTTGTGGTTCTACATTTTGTTTAAAATTTATTTCAATGTCATATTACTTCACCAGTATTCTATTCTCTACTTTATTTTAGATACAGCTCAACGTACACTAAAATCACTCCCGGAATCCCTTTACCACAAGTGCTTTGTATTCCGCCGGATAAAGAGATAAGATGAACGACATTTTCAATAAAAGAAAACGTGCTATTTTTCTGTGATATTCATCCCTTTGTACCGCACACCGTCGTCAGTGTATTCACTGTGTATTTTAGTTTGAGCATCCCATGTTTGCATTAGAGGCCACCGCAAATGTCAACTCGTCGTTTTGTTTCAGTCAGATCAACCTTTTGTAATCCGATTATAAAGTTTCCATAAAGATTATACTTTTGATGTGGATGTCAAATCAAACTGATTAATATAGCAGTTTTCCGTGTGCTTTGTTCGTTTTTTCCGCTTCCATCTTCATTCCCTTTCTTTCAGTTTAATAAAATTAAAGTGAGTCAGTCACAGTTCGACTATTATCCTTATGGTGAAATCTGTTTTGGCCGCATAACAAATAGTATATAAAACTACAAAATTTTGTTGCTTTTCGAAAATATCTGACACGAAAAACAATACATTTATTTTATAAAGTAATTGTAAATATGCGAAGAACATTAAAGTCCGATAATTTTTTTTTTTAAAGAAAAAACCGATTGTAAAGTAAATTTTGTTCTACTTTGTAAGAGAAAGGAAAAATTACATTAATAACGTTAGCAATAGAGCCGCGTTCGTCTCCGGTCGGCTACACAATTTAACTAACGTTAAAAGTAAAATGCCCTTAAGGCACAAATTATTATTATATAAGACCTGCGTACGACCTATTATGTCTTACGCATGCATGACCTTCGCCCACACGCACCCTACTCGCTTGTACAAGTTGCAAATAGTACAAAATAAGTTCATCCGCCGCGCAACCGGTGCGCAGTGGTATCAACGCAACGTCGACCTGCACAGCGATTGCAGACTCCCGACGATTCACGAATATTTTAAAGACCTGACCAAACGGTTCTTCGATAGAGCCGAACATCATCCCAACCCTCTGGTGGTAAGCGCAGCAAATTACCAACCCGACAAAAACGCGAACGTCAACAAGCGTCGCCCGCGAAACGTCCTAATCGACCCGGTCGAGGAAGGGGACTTAGACACGCCGGACCCACTGCCGGGGGTCCCGCCGGACAACACTACACCCACAGTTAGTGCAACAACAAACACACTAGTTTCGCCCTCGCCTCCGAGCACGGCGAGACCAACACAACGCGTACACAAGGTACACCCGCGTTCCGGGGCGGTTATCACCGCCCCCAGCCACCGATTAGCTAATTGCACAGTCGACGGCCATCGAGGTTTCGGTCCGAACCACGACCTCGATGGCCCTTAGATGACACACCATAGTTAAACGCACGCATGAGCACATGCGTGGCCCTACCCACAGCGGAGGGCCCAAACCCGTGGGTTCTGGCTAGCCCACCGGTTCTGCGTCAGATGAAGCTTTAATAGTCTCGGGACTGAAAGCAAAAACATCAGTTAATACAAGATACAAGATACAAGAAAAATTAGGAATCTTTAAAACTCAGTATAAGTTAAATATTTCAAAGGAAGCCATATCTAAAGCTTACACAGTTTCAAAGTTTTTATTTTTCTTAATTATCCAATTCAAACAACAAGTGTTAAGTTTCTTGCTTGGCAAACTTTTTTATTAAGACTGTATGACCATCAAACAACTCATCCAAGTGGCAATAATATTTTAAATACGGATAAAATATTAAAATTATGAAGGTGCACAAACATTTGCGTGAGTACTAACATATGAAAGTTGGGAACAATTGAAAATAGCCTAGGCTTTTTATGAGTGAACTATATTTTCGAAAGATAGCATGGCAGTCCATAAAATAAGGCTAGATTGGGCTTAAGCTTTCCCTTCACTGGATCAGGTAACAAAGAAAACATCAGAATTGTATCTGCTGGCTGTATACAAAGATGATGTGAATGACTATGGCGCATGGACGGCGTTTAAAAATTGTTCCGCTTTACATTATATGACGTATATACGTGAATGTAACAAATGATATAGAATTTATGATACGGAAAGGGATAGTAGCCTATAGAGTTTCAATCTAATTACACCAATTGGCGTAATTTGAGTGCCTCAGTTTCGGTGCGCCAGTGCATACCTATCTCGTATTTGTATATCATTGGTAAATGTAATTGTAAATTAACAATTTGTTGTTCATCTTAACCCGATAGCGTTTACAATCAGAAAAAAAGATTCGAAATAATATGAACATGAATAGTTGAAACGGAGCTTTGTCTTAATAAAATATAATTCATTCGGCGATAACGAATTTTATTAGAGAGTCTCGGAGAAGTGCTGGAGATCTGGCTCGAAGCCAAGGTGCGGCTGTATAGTGGTGAAAATCACATGTGCCTGTTCTGAAAGTGTACAGTCACCGGGAATTAGTTTTAGTAACAGAGAACATTAAAATTGTAAAATTTAAAAAAAAAAATTCTGTGCGTGTAACCTTTGCGCGCGATTGAAGTAAAACTTCTTTGGCGTTGACGTCATAAGTATATGTCATATATTTAAAATATGACATATACTTATGACGTTACGTCAGAAAAAGCGTTACTTCCGTGAGAAATAATCTGAGTTAGTCCCTAGTCGCGCCTAAAGAAGTTTTACTTCAAAAACATCAATTATGCACATTTAAAAACTAAGCCAAATCAAATAACATTGCAAAAGAAGTTTTTACCCGACTTCCAAAGGAGGGTTATGTTTTTCGAGCATACGTATTTATGCATATCTTATTCCTTGGCGCGCACTAACGCCTAAACCTTCAGGTGGATTTCAACTTATGACGTGTCATTTAGTGCTGACTTGGTTGAAAGAGTGGCATAGGAAGCATTATTTCATAATGGTGTTCACGAGGAAAAAATTGAGATAT